TGGATATGATTTAAAAAAGGATTTAAATATACGTTTGAACAAGTGTTTCATTTATGGTTTGATATGAAATTATAGACATAAATGATAATTTACTTTAGACTAATATTTTGATTATTCATATAATTTTGTTAATATTTATTTGATATTGAATTGCACTATAAAATTTGATTTTGAGCATGCATTATGTTTGAGATATTGGATTTGGATATTTTAAAATACATATGAGTTTATGTGGTTTTCGATATGATTTGGTTACCTTGGGTACCTAGCTACGGGGGCATAATCTTTGAGCTTAGTTGTATGTTAAGCTCTAGTTGGTAAAAAAAGGTGTAGTGCTAGCTCGTGTATTTGCCAACATGTAAAAACCTAGTCACGGAAGACGTGACTTTTGGGTGTTAGCATCTAATGATATGTTATATTTTTCATTCTAATTGTAATGAAAAACCTAGATATATGATTTGATTTGATTATGATACACACACAAAAACACATCAATTTTGATGATTTGATATGAATTTTGTTTGAACCATTTAAGTTACGATATATAATTTGGTATTTATGGTATGCATTTTGGTTTAGAGAAACAAGCATTGCATCTCGAGTCAAATTTTAAGTAATTATCTTTAGTATGTTTTCCTTCTTTATTATGTTATGTAGTATTTACTCAATGAGCCGTTGATTTGCTCATCCTCTACCATTTCGGTTTTATAGTGTTGTAAGCTTACCTTTTAGCTTTTATGAAGTTATTGCCTTAAAGTTGGCACATTGATCTTGTAGTTTATTACTTGTAATCTTTTAGAACTTGTGTTTGATTTTATTGTATCTTTTAAAAGTTTTACGGTTATATCTTGTGGGAGTTTTATTAGAAATTGATTATGAATATTATTTTGAGAAATGCAAGAATATTATAGAATTATTATTGTATTGGAGTTATAAAGTAATGATTGTTAGATTGTAAATTGAAATGATGTTTGACGTGCTAAAGATTTGAGGATTTAAGTTTAGGTATTCGAGGCTTGCTTGAGTCGAGGTAGGTCTCATGATTCTCTCAATTCTCATATCGATCATGCCCCACTTTGAGTATCATGATAGTTTTTTTCTATAATGAACACATGAGGTGGGATAGAAATATATTGTCTATTGTGTCACATCGAATTGTAAAAAATTCATGAGAGGTGGAAAATTTTATAAAAAGTCTTTAGTGTTTTTCTTGATCTCCCTTTGAGAATTTTCTCATGGGCTTTTATGATGCGATCCTCGTATTTACTTAAAGGTTTAAATAGATCCATGAAGATTTAAGTTTATAAATTCTTTTTTTGGCTCGTAATTTTTTTTTGGCTTAAAACTAAAAATTAAAATTGAAATATTTATAAATGAAGACCAAAACATGAAAATACTATTTGATTCAAGTTTGATTTTGATTTTTATGATTTTGGTTAAGCAAAAAATAAATTGAAACCAAATAACCAAATGTTGATCCCTATATTTAATATTTATATAGTATCACTACCATTATGATTATTAGTTGACTTTGTTCATTTAGAAGATAAACATATAAAACATCCATTATGAAATTGTGAAGTTTCGAATTGCTTTGGATTAAAATGGCGGTCTTCAAGCTTGTATTGTTCCAATTATAATGAAATATCTCATTGTTTCACTCATAGGTATATGCATCATCGAATGACATTAAACATTATCTTTGTATGATTGTTCTTTTTATTATTCTCTTCATCCGATTGTACGATCTTAATATTTTTTTATTGGTTTTATAGTATGAAATATTTAGGGCAACTTTCTCTTGCACACTCGAGACTTTAATTATCTCTTGTGTCTTGTTAAACACAACCTAGTTACACCGCATTTGGAATTTATGAGAATTTTATATTGGATTCTAATTATTGTTAGATTTCTATCTTTTTTCATCACAAATGAGTTTTTTTTAAATATGATGGCAACCCCACTTAATCAAATGTAGAAAACAACGAAAAGATTTCATCTTACAAAATTGCTAAAGGGGTTCGCATGTTCCAAATCTCTAACTTACATCTTCACATAATCCAAAATTGATACCAACTTCGCAAAACCAACCATCACATCTTCACATGCTCCAAATTTATATGTTACAAAATTACAAGAAAACTCGTGTATAAGATTTCGCCTTATCCGGTATTTTTATTTATATCTAAGTAATTAGGTTCGTAGTAGGGAATTTTTAAGCACTTGATTTATATGTGAGAAGAAAGAAAGAATCAAATGGGGTAAAAGAAAATATATTTTTATTGTTTATTTATCATTAACAATTTCTTGATTGGAAACCGGGGAAGTGGAAAGCACTACATCGATTATTAATTTATCATGCACGACTGCACCACTTGTATGTTAGGAAAAATATTTTCTCTAGGACTATTTTTTTCATTTGAGACTATTAGGTAAAAACAATAGCTTTCTAGCTAAATATGTAAATATAATGCTTAATGCTAGTGGCGGGTTAATTGGAACATATGTGAGATGATCTTCCCCTCTTAAATTCCCGACCAATCGGCTCGAACACCATTGTAGCTATGGTGCTTAGGCATATGTGATATGTGTTGTTGAGTATGTTGGCGATGTATAAAAACTTAAAATAACATAAACAATAGTGTTTCCTAATACCACAAAATTAATTAACTAATATTCTCACGACTTCTCCCATTAGTGAACAATTCACATATTTTGTCATAAGATGTGCAACGAGTGTGAAAGATGTTGCACCTCAACCAATTCTTTTTTGGATTGTTTTGATATTCAAAGCTATTTAAATGACCAATCTTCCTCGAATGGAACTTTCATACTTGGAGCATGAAAGTTGATCTATTACAACCAGACACGGTTGTTCATATTTCATTTTCCCTTTCTTCGAAAGCACTTATCGAGTTATATATCCGGTTCGTTCTCTTCCTCTGTGCATCTCCGTGAGAATACCTAGAAGTAGACATTCGACCCTAACTCAAAGAATTATGTTGCATCCGTCCTATCTCAATCGGTCGGGCGCTCGTCCCGTATCGGCGATCTATCAATAGGGCGGGTCCGATCTAACTTACCATAAAAGTAAGCTAAGAGCTTCCTTGTTCTTTAGCCGGGCATGATTAATCATATTAATATGATATATATCTAAGTTTTCATCTTCCTTGTGTTCGAGATGAGCTTCCCTTTCTTGGTTAACTAGGAAAGAGGATTTAAGGCCCCGATCCAACCCCGATTGTAGACCATCCTACGACGGTAGATTATCCAAACCGACTTATCGAGATTGATTACCCATCCCTCGTTCCGATTCTTCCCCATAGTCCTTTAGTCCGTTTCATAGGAAGTTCAATATGGTACACGTATGCCGTCTATCCCATAGTCCTCTAGCGGTGCATTCGTTCATTTCTTTCTGTCGGGCGAGGGCCTCCTCTTTGAGATGAGACTCGTGGAAACTCTCTTCACAAGTGATGGTCATCGTGGTCTAATTAGCTCCGTAGGGAAGCCGACCAACATTATTCAAATAATTTTTTAGTCATATTTTACATTAAATGATAATGAATATAGATCATTAATCAATTCCAAAACAAGGTTGCAATATTAATTATCAATTCTCCTATTCTATATCGTAACATACACACCTGAGGTGTTATTTAGTTACTAAGAATGAAATTATGAGAATCAAAATAAAAGTTTTATCCATACTTTTTAAGTGTTTAGTTGAAATAAATAAAGTGAAAATTGGAACGAAGAATGAGAATGAGAATGAAAATTCAACGAGTTTATTCCTATTGAAAATAAAAATGAAAATGAGATTTTTCTCTCTCTTTGATATAGTGATATATTATTTTTATTATGGTGTATCAACCACTTCGGTACCAACACCACCTCCACCACTTGCTTCACCATGACACCACCACCATTTTTATTGATAGTGGTGCTAAAAAATTTATCATTCAACCACCACTCTTCCACCATCACTTTTATTATACTACCATCATCATCATCATTTTTTTCTATCGAATCTTGTATTATGGTGCTATCAATTTTGTAAAAATATGTTATTGTTGTTAGTAAACTACTATTACTACCACCACCTCTTTCTTCTCCTTCACCACAATTGGATTTATCATTGTTGTTATCATTGTAGTTGATAAAATTATTTTTTTAATTATTATTGTTATTCATATTTAAAACCGGATATAATTTTTTATAAGTTTATTTCGATTCTTTACTATTTCAAACACAATATTGAAATGTAAATGTTATTTCATTTTTTTTGTTTTTATTTTCTACATTCTCATTTTAGACATTTTATTCTTGACAACTAAATAATATTTTTTTAATTTCTTTTCTATAATTTTCTTTCAAAATCTAAACTGGCTAAAAAATATTTCTAGCCTAATATCACAAAATCAAAAGACAGTCAAGCCTACTTCAAAAACACTGTATAGGCATTTGCGATCTTCATTCTTTTTATCTCTCACCAAAAAATAGTTAACAATTAAAAAAAAAATTTCAATCTTCATTCTTTTTATTTTTCACGACCAAAAAAAGTTAACAACTTAAAAAAAGAAAAAGCAAAACAAAATTTAGCACTCAACCCAATTTCCTTTCAAATTTAGTAAATCAAAGCTTTTTTCTTTCTTTGTTTTCAAATTACTTTTAGCAAAATGCCAACCTTTTTGTGGGAGACAATTCTTACATTGAAAACCCGAAAAAAAATATATGTCCAAGAGTCCAAAACCTAAACCCAAAAATAGTAGGCCGAAGAGTCGAAACCTAAATAAGCTATAATATTTTTGTAGCCCAACACAACAACACAAGAATGAAGTTGTGTCAAACCCAGCTAGCCCAATAACATAACGGTAAAATGTTTCCCTTCCCAAAACGCGCCTATAAAAAACCCGGTACAAAGTCTGCATTCTGCCTCTGTCTGTCGGTTTGTTCTTATCGAGAATTGGCTTGTCCCGAAAGAAAAACACAAAACGAAACAAATGGCAGAATCGTCGTCGTTGTCGTCAACGGTAGTAAAATCGGATGCGGAAACAGAAGAATTACTGGATCGAATGTTAACTCGGTTGGCTTTATGTGACGATTCGAAGCTTGAAGCTTTACTGTCTAAGCTTCTCCCTTTCACTCTCTCCTCTCTTTCGTCGAACTCCACCGCCGTCCGCAACAAGGCAAAAACCCTAACCTACACTCACTTGTCTTATCTTTACTCTTTATTTTTAATTGGACATTTTGGTGTGGTTATTAATTTTATTTTAATTAGATTTATTGCTGAGCGGAATTTGAATTCTTCTTACTTAAAAAGATACTTGTTTTTTTAGAGAATGAATGGAAAACCTTAAATAGGTTTCGAACCAAATGCTTTAGGTTCTGGAAATTTGTAATGTGCTTGTGGTTTTTTTTAGAGAGCAACTGTTGACTTTTGAGTGCTATTGCTTAAGGTACGAGAGAGAAGGATTAGGGTTATGAAGAATTCGTTATTATTTAACGGTTAGGATTTTATGATAATTGAAATGTTGTAAGAAAATATATTGCAGAAGGTGAAATTGAAAAAATTAAATTATTATATGCCACTTTTGAATTCTCTTGGTTGTGTAATGTTATACCTAAATAGGACTTGGTTTTGCAATGGGTTGGATTTGGGATTGTGCAGTCTCTACTCAAAATGGAGTCCTATAGCTCTGGATGCATTTCAAAGCGGCAAAACCAAATCTATTTGACTAAAAACTGGGGGACCCCATATCTGTCTTGTTTGAATCCAATTAGTCAATAAAATATTACCAAAATGAATACAGAGTCCTGGGCTTGTAGCATGGAAAACCATTGAGAGATAAAGAAAGAGGAGAAAGAAGTAGAGGAATCTCACCGTTAATAGCATGGCAATGGCAATGGAAGAGGAGTGGAGCAAGGAGAAATAATTAGTCTGTAAGAATCACAAATGAGGGTAGTAAGGAAAAAAAAAGGCTTAAATTGAGAAAACGGGGTTTTGAATGGTAAAGTAGAGTACAGAATCTTTAAATCTCATATTTTTTTCCTTGGAGTACCTTGGTAGATATTTCACATAACCAATATTTTGTTTTAGGTAATTAGATCCACTAAACAAAGTATAAGTAATTTGCTGCTGGATTCAACATCGGAGTGCAAATAAACCCTGTTCAGTTCAATTACAAAAAATGCTCTTGTTCCTAAAGGACCGATTCACATTGGACAGCAAATAACTCCTGTCCAGTGCAATTACAAAAAAAGGGTCTTGTTCCTAAAAGACCTGTACTGCTTACAAACATTAGGATTCTAAATGCAGTAAGTAATATAAAACACTTCCAAGCTGTTAGAATGCATTTCCATCATGTTGTGCAAAATAATTTTTGTAAGTTCTAGAAGCATTGAATTCCTTTCATTACTTGTCACAAATGACTAGTTTGCCCTATCCCTCTCCTCTCTTCTTAATTGGATTAAAAATTACTAATTTTTGTTTGTTGTTTCAGGTTCTTGAAATTTTGAGTCATGTAAATAAGAGAGTGAAATATCAACGTGACATTGGTTTGCCATTGCAAGAGCTATGGAAACTGTATACTGAAGCCGATGCTACTCCAATGGTAAAAAATTTTTGTGTTGTATATATTGAGATGGCATTTGAACGTGTAAATATAAAGGTATGTGATCTGTCACCAGTGTTCAAATTTCATTATCTCAAATATATTTATCACTTTTAAGCAAATTTTTTTTCTAATTAGTCATTTATTATGTTTTAGGAAAAGGAAAATATGGCACCAATGCTTGTTGCAAACATTTCTAAACTTCCTCTTCAACATCAAGATATTATCTTAAGAATTGCTACCAAGGTAGGTTTCAGCCTTTACTGCTTTTTGAACAGTTTGATGTTTAACAAACTTGCCAGGAGATGAAGAGTGCAAAAAAATAGAAAAGGATTTCTTGTAACAACTTTATCCATGTCTTGGCATTGACACTAACTTTAATAATTTGGAGCTCGCTGATTGGGCTTATTGACTTTGCTTGGTTTCAGGTGATTGGTGAATGTCATGCTAGTCGGATTGATGAAGAAGTTGCTGTAAAGTATAGATTAGTGAATGGCTCCCAGGACATAGAATTATTCACTGAATTCTGTCTTCATTTGATGTTGTATCAGCAGTCATCTCAAGGGTCTGGAAGTTCATAAAAGCGATGTGATCTTTCAAAGTTTGCTTGTCATGCAAATTTTATTCAGCAACTCATTAACTTTTTTTTTTTTTTTCCAGGGGAGGAGGCTTGCCTGGGCTTTCAATTGCTCAAAGCAATCGTGTTACGGGAAAGAAACCTTTAAAAAGCGATGAGCTTCTGATGAGAAAGGTGACAATAGAAGCTGAATATCATCCAACCTGGGAGATTATAGATAGTTTCCTTGGTTTTCACATGAGATATGTTTTTTGTATTCTTTTGGCTTTTCATGAGCAGCTAGGGGTTTTGAATGTTGTTGAAGCTATGGAGCTAGGTTCAGAACCTGTTTATCCCTTGTATCTGGTTGCTTGCGCAGACAGGTACGGATGTTCTTTGCTACTTTTTATAACTAGAAGACATATTTAAATTTGTTTCTTGCTTTAATATCCTTAAATATGTTTGAGATGTGGAGTATGATTTGTTGTTTGACGATTGTTGTTTTCAAGTCAAGAGGCAATTATTAAGAAGGGGAGGAGCTCCTCAGGAAGAAGGCATCGGGTGCTAATTTAGATGATCCAAACTTGATGAGCAAACTGTTTTTACTATTCAATGGTATGCTTGTATATTCATTTGATTATTTCTGTTTGATTATATTGTTACTGCAGTTCTGAATTAAAACATGAAGTTCATTTCTGGTTACCAACATTTTGTGTTCTTTTGGGGTGTTGTGAGGTTAAGTCTTAAGAGCTTTTATCCCCTTCTGTATCCAGAAAAGGGAAGTGTCTCGAGGGAGGGTGTTTGGGGGGGGGGGTGTGTTAACCCTTGCTTTGACTTGATATTTTCAACAACAAAAAAAAATCTTTAAACATGTATTACTGTGCATCTTTAATTCTGAAGAAGCTACTTTATTTTAGGTACTACTGGCACTGAACATGTTGCTCCAGAATCTAAAGTCAATCCGGCAAGTGTTTCTTTGAAAACAAAGTTGATGTCTGTATTTTGCCGGTCTATTACTGCTGCAAACAGTTTCCCAGCAACTCTGCAGTGTATTTTTGGTTGCATCTATGGTAACTATAATTTTTTTTTATCTTAATACTTATCATTTCTTTGCCAAATCTAAGAGGGGTTTATATAACTGTGGTGCTATTTGATGAGAAACTTTGAGCTTTTTGATACTCATTTATGATGCAGGTATAACTGTGGTGCTATTTTACATGGTAGTGCATAGTTGTTCAGGAATAAATAAATAAATGCACTTCATTTAGGGGTTGGTCTAGATCTGAGTTTGGGGGCTGTTTAGGGCTCCTAGGATTCGTAGGAGTCACACCTATGAAGTCACATAATCAAAAGCAAATTGCTGGAATTTTATTCATAAACTGTCATTGATAATATTGAAAGGTTACTTATTTATAGAGTTCTAGTAGTCTAAATCCAATAAGGACTTATATTCCTAAATATGAAACTACTAAGTCTTTGTAGAATAGAAATAAATCTAATAAAGCTAATTACTCCTTAGGACTAATAAAATATTAAATAGAAAATAAAAACTAGACTGGACAAATTTTTAGATTTTCTAGAAATTATAGAAATATCTTTTGTAAATAGAGATGAAACTGAATTCTCTTGTATGTTTTTTTATTAAAGAAGAGATCGGTATATGTACACACACACACGCAAAGCTACCATATTTAGGATACTCCTATGATTACTCCTATAATTATTTACTTACTATAGTTACAACATGTAAATATCTACTTATTATATTTACAACACTCTCCCTCATGTTGGAACATAGATGTTAATCATGCTCAACTTGTTACAAATATAATCAATTCTAGGACCCCATAAAACTTTTGTGAAGATGTCGCCTAGTTGTTCTCCAATTTTGATATGGCTTTTAGAGATCAATCCTTGCTGAATTTTCTCACGGATAAAGTGACAATCGATCTCGATGTGCTTAGTTTTTTCATAATAAGTTGGATTTGATGTGATATGGTGAGCAGCTTGATTATCACACCACAATTTCATAGGAATAGAATTTTCAAGACCAATCTTATTTAACAATTTAGATATCCACACAAGTTCACACGTAGATTGTGCCATAGCTCTATACTTCGATTCTATACTAGATCGAGACACAACATTCTGCTTCTTGTTTTTCCATGACATCAAATTTCCACTAACAAAGACACAATACCTTATAGTAGATCTTCTGTCAATCTTAGATCTAGCCCAATCTGCATGTAAGACACTCAATAATAGAATGGCCATGATTACTATAAGCCACACCTTGGAGCCCCTTTGAGAATGCTGTCGAATGAGTAACTCGAGGAAAGGGCATAAACTGGCTCACAATGCTAACGGGATATGCAATGTTAGGATGAGTTGCTGAGAGATAATTTAGTTTTACACCTAACTTGCGATATCTCTCGGGATCAGCAAATAACTCCCCATCATCTATTGTAAGATGTAGATTAGTAGCCATTTGTGCATTAGAAGGTTTAGCTCCAAATTTTTCAGTTTCTTTCGATAGATCAAGAATATAATTTCTTTGAGAAAGAAAGATTCCCTTTTAGACACTGGTAACTTTAATACGCCACAAATACTTCAATAAACCCAAGTCTTTTGTTTGGAATGAATTTGGTATGGAGAAAAGACATAGGGCTAAAATACTAGTATCATCACTACCGGTAATCACGGTATTATCAACATATATAACTAACAAGATAATACTAGTTTTTGATTTGGTAGAAAATAGCATGGACATAATTACTCTTTTTCATATTAAATTCTTGAACTATTGCATCTGAAACACCCAAACCAAGCACAAGGGCTCTGCTTTAACCCATACAAAGACTTTGGAAGTTTATGGACTTTTCCATACTCATCCCGAGCAACAAACCTAGGTAGTTGCTTCATATAGACTTCCTCCTACAAATTACCATAAAGGAAAGTATTTTTGACATGGATGTAAGGGCCTATCATTAGTTGCAGCAAGAGATATAAACAAGCGAGACATATGCAAGTTTGGTAACCGGAGAAAAAATATCAGAATAATCTATACCATATGTCCGAGCATACCCTTTTGCAACTAATCGAGCTTTGAGATAAGCCACGGAACCGTCAAGATTAACCTTGACAACATACACCCATTTATAACCAATAGCTTGTTTACCTATTAGGAGATGCACCAATTCCCAAGTATCGGTATCATCTAAAGCCATCATTTCTTTTGCCATAGCAATTCGCCAACTAGGATGGGACAAGGTCTCGTGTAATGTTTTAGTTATAGACATCGAATCTAACGAAGTAGTAAAGCAACGTATAGGAGACAAGTGGTCATAAGAAACAAACGAAGAGATAGGATGAGAAAATTATCGTTTACCTTTACAAAGAGCAAGTGGAAGATCAAGACTAGGATCTCGTGGATGGAAGAGTCGGCGAGAGGAAGTGAGTCCCGATTTTGTTATGGGTCTCGTGGATGAGTACGGTGAGAGTAAACTTGGGTGATAAGTGGCTTAATGGGTATATGAGATTTAGCAATTGTAGTCGGTATATATCAAAATATCATCTTCCTTCCCCTCACAATGACATGTAGATTCGTGAAAAAAATGAAGTAGTCTAGAAAAATGTTACATTAGCAGAAATCAAATAATGACCCAAAATTGGAGAATAGCACATGTAACCTTTCCGAAGATGAAAATATCCCAAAAAGACACTCTTGAGAGATTTAGGATCTAACTTAGATGCTTTGTGATTAACATCACGAACAAAACCCGTACAACCAAAGACACGTGGTTCTATCGGAAATAAGAATTGAGACGGGAATAAAGTAGAATGAGGAGTATCACCGGAAAGAACGAGAGGAGGGCAACCGATTGATTAAGAAACACGTTGTAGACACAACATCGGCCTAGAATTGTTTAGGAACTTTCATCCGAAAAAGAAAGGCTCTAGCAATCCGTACTAAATGTCTATTCTTTCGTTCAACAACGGTATTATGGTGTGGTTTGTCAACACATGATTGATGTAGAATTCCATTTTGTGTCATAAAAGTATTGAACGACTCGAAGAAATACTCTTTTGCATTATCACTCCTCTTTTCAAAACACGTATTGAAACATTAAATTGAGTTTGAATTTCAGCACAAACAAGCACAAAATATAGAGAACAATTTAGATCGACTTGTCATTAAATATAACCAAGTAACACGAGAATAGTCATCAACAAATGTGAAAATATCAAAAACCGAGTTGTCGAAGTCACCTGGACAAGGACCTCAAACATTGGAACAAACTAACTCAAAAGGTGATATAACCCATTTATCGATCATGGGAAAATACGACACACGATGGTGTTTAGCAAACCGACATGATACATTCTAAAGAAGATAAATTTTGAAATCGAGGAAACAATTTCTTTAAAACAAAGAAAGAAGGATGCCTTAACCGGCAATGCAACTCAAGAGGTGTGATAATACCGGAACAAGCGATAGGTTGTGGCATAGGTTGAAGATGATACAGCCCTCCGGACTCACATCCTCTACCAATAATCTTCCTCGACGTAAGATCTTGAAATACACAATGGTTAGGAAAAAATGGGACACAACAATTAAGAGCTCGAGTGATTTTATTGATCGCTAGTAGATTAAATGAAAAATTGGATAAATATAAGACAAATGACAAAGAGAGAGATGATGTAGGAAGAGCTTTTTCATTTCCTATAACCGATGTGGTTGAACCATTAGCCAAAGTGACGCTAGGAAGATTTTTGAATGAAATAGAGGAGAATATCTGTATTATTTGTCATGTGATCCGTAGCACCCGAATCAATGACTCATTTTGGAAGAGGATGACACAAGGCATGTAGTGGGTTTACTTGTCTCGTTGCGATAGCGAGTAGGTGGGTTGGAAGACTTTAGCAAGGATTGATACCGAGTAAACTAAGCAAAGTCATCAGCGAGACACCATTATAGACTTCTCGGATGAAGAAAAGGCATGAACAACTTCTTGGGTTGCAAAGTTTGCAACATGAACTGAATTTGAAGGTTTTCCATGAAGTTTCCAACATGTATGTTATGACCAAGGTCTCCAAATAAATAGCATGTTGTTGTTCTGTTTTGATCATTCTGTCCACGAATGCCATTTCCTCCATAATTACCACTCTTACCACCTCGAAAATGCCACTTCGACCTCCGTAACCTACCTCATTCCAATTACCTCGACTCACAAGGACACTGGTAATACCGGGAGAAGGTTGAGATGTCTTTATACGTATTATTCTAGAGACAAATTCTGGACTAGAAAGGATTTGTGTGCGTGCAACGTCAAATTTTGGTGGTAGACCTGCAATAAAACTCATGAAAGCCATCTGTTCACGTTGAGACTGTTGAGCGTTCATATCGGTGCCAAAAGGAAGGAGAGAATTCAACTCCTTATAAACCCCTTTGAAATTCATGAAATATTCGGTAAGGGTTTTGTCTTGCTTTTCTAGACGATAAAACTTCTTACATACATCATAAATATGAGAAATCACCTTACCGGAATATAAAAATGCCAAATAATCCATAAGATCTTTAACAATCTCACAGTGACTAACCAAACCAATTACCTCACTGCTAATAGAGTTTTGAATCTGTAAATATATTCTGGCATCTGCTCTCAACCAAGCCTTCTTTTCCAAATTATTAGTTTGATCGTCTTGATCAATACTCCGAAAATACACCTACGCAATTTTACTCCAATATGAAAAATTTCGTCCATTGAGTTTATGTTCTGTAATCTTTGTTGTTGTATTAACAACATCAAAGATCACAATTTTCTTCTTTATTCCATAAGCCATTAAAAAAAAAAAGAAGGAAGAAAATAGGGCAACAAGGTAGTGGTAGCTCACTAAGGCAGCAACGAAAAGAAAAAAAAATGGTAGCTTACTAGTGCAATAGCGGCAGCGGCTCTGATACCTTGTAAATAGAGATGAAACTGAATTGTCTTAAATGTTTTTTATTATAGAAGAGATCAGCATACACACACACATGCATAGCTACTCTATTTAGGACTCCTATGATTACTCCTATAATTATGTATTTACTTACTATAATTACAACATGTAAATATCTACTTACTATATTTACAACATCTTTGTCTATAAAAAGACGCAAGTTTTGCTTCCTTTGTTGTTCACATCAATGAACGAAGTCATCAATTATTCTATCGTTGTTTTTAGGGTATGGGAGCTCCATTCAATAATATAATAGAATGGCCATCGATTTCATGTAGCAAGTAAAAGATACCATTTAAGTCGTGGGAAAAATTATTGTGTCCTACTTTTCTTTCTCACATGCTTGTTTCTTTGAGAGTCCTCGGACCTTTAACTTAGGAACCATGAAAGTTTTACAGTAAATTGCTTATTTGTATGCGGAATTAGAAATAATAATGAGTATGCACATAGTGGTTTTAATCCTTGCCATTGTCATCTGAACAACAATATTCTTGTTTTGGTCCAATTATATATTTATGTCTTTTTTTTTTTTTAAAAAAATTCTGCTTATGATCTCATGCCAATTTTTTGTTAGAAATTTATTGCTGATTCTTCTTCTGTTTGATGAAATTCTGGAATGCAATAGGAAATGGTACCACGTCGAGGTTGAAGCAATTGGGAATGGAATTCACTGTTTGGGTGTTTAAGCATGTAAGAATCTTATTGTCCTGTTTTGGATTTGTACTTTAAATTTTCAAGTTGTTTTGATGAAGGACCGTTGACCTTTGTCTCAAGCGGTAAAAAGGATTGGGTGAATCCTTTAATTTCACCTGGTGGAAAAAGGAACTTTGCCAAAGGGACCTTCTCAATTGGGAGACAAATGAGCATAGAGTAAAGCTTCATATAATGCCAAATCATCTGATCAAGCCTTATATTATTGTATTTGCACCAACGGAAGTTTTCTAGGACAGGAAGCACTCTTGACATGTTTGAATAGCTTTTTTTATAGCTTTCTTAGCGGCTCTCTGAAGTCCCTTACCTACCGATCAGTGATGCACATAGAGAAAGATGTTCTGTACTTCTGTCCGCAAGTGGTATCCAGTGAATTCGAGGCCTAAGTTGTGTTTCTATTGAATTCTAGTAAATGGAATCTGCCTTTTCTTTTTGTAGTTAGGAGTCAAGTTAGTTTTTTGTTTTGTTTTTTTCTCTTTTTTTTAATCAGTTGAAAAAATATCATTTTTATTCTTGTCACTAATGAATAATTGAGCCAAAGTGACTTAACTAAGCACATGCCATTTGTAGTTTTCTTCAATTCTGTTGACTTGTCACTCAGCTGCTGGTGTTGACTGGTGCTGACTTTCCTTAACCATTGTTGCTGTTGATCACCATCAGCACCTGCAATAGTCAATGTTCAAACAATTTGCCATGCGTGGCTACTGCTACCTGCCAACTTCCCCAACCAAAAGATTAGTAAAATATACAATGATCTCAATTTACAGCAAACTAGAGAAAGAAGAGACCTGAAAATGCTTTCCACCATGGTTATTTTCCGATGATAAAATTTTATCCATGTAGCAATAGCCTTAGACGAGTCCTGTTTTCTAGGAAATTATAAAAATCTTCCGTGTGTTCCTTGGTTTTAAGCATATGATGTTAGTTCTCTAAAATTCAAACAATCAACTGAATGTTAAAGAGTGTAAAGTGCTGGAGTTAGATAACTAGGATTTCCTTTCGTTGATATTTTTTAGTTTAATTAGTTCATTACTGCCTGTGTTCTGTTCTTCTCATGTTCTTTTATGCATACGTCTTACTCTCTCTGCTTTTTTTTCCCCTTGCTGTTGTGATCTTTTACTGTATCAGTTTTCCAGACTGTTGTGTCTCTTGCCTGGATCCTAAAACCCTATTTTTCACACACTAGAATCTATTTGTAGCCCCAAATTTTCTCCCAAGACCTTGTGCTAGGTAAAATCAGTTCGTTCCCCTATTTGAACTGCAAGCATATTCTCCAAGGACTCTCTCATTTTTAATATATTGCTAGTTGCCAAACTGGCAATCAATCATTGATGGCTTCAAGGGTAGTTTGGTTTAGCTCATGAAATTTCAACATGGACAGGTTTTTTGGCATAAAAATGACAATTGATAATATGCTCATGTTTCCACTTTTATTTGGTTTCGTCTCCTATGTTGTTTCTTTGAACACTGCAAACGAAATATTAATTACAGCTTTCACGTCTTTGTTTTTATTTATTCATTATAATGTTCTTTGTTTCCACGTGTACAGGCAAAAACTGATCACCTGAAGCTTGTGGGCCCTGTTATACTGAATGGGATTCTGAAGTTACTTGATAATTATTCAAGTTTAGAATCAGGTGCCAAGCAAACAGAGTTCTTTTGATTTCTTTTCTCATATCTATTAAAGCACTATGGTTGGAATCTGATTGACAGTTTACTTCATTTATTAAATGAGATTGATTTTGTTTACATCACTCCAGATGCTATTGCTAGGGACATCAAAACATTTTCTTTTCAAGCAATTGGATTACTTGCGCAGCGTCTGCCCCATCTCTTTAGGTGCTTTGCCCATCCCATCTCCTCCTTTCTGCTGCTCTATAACAATAATCTGATGGCTATTTCCTTTCATCTCAGGGACAAGATTGATATGGCTGTTCGTCTTTTTGATGCATTGAAAGCTGAGGCGGAATCTCTTCGTTTCGTTATCCAAGAAGCAACCAGTTCTCTTGCTGCTGCATACAAGGTATGGTTAGATTCACTTTGTTGAAATTACATTTCTCTGTTTTTTCTTTCCTGACAGAAGAAAATTTACTCTCAGATAGGGATGGCAATGGGTCGGGTATAAAACGGGTACCTGCTTTACTTGGCCCAATAAATACCCATTAAGAATGTCCAATGGGTATTGAAATGGGCAAGGGTAAAAAAAATACATACCCACTAATATGGTTTCATGGTAATGGGTATCCACTCTTTACCTTATTAATACCCACTAATTTATTTAGATTTTTTTATTAACATGTAAGGATCTAATTGAATAGAAGTTAAAAATTAAGGATCAAAATATTTTTTTTCAAAAACTTACCAAAAAAAACTTATAAATAAATGACCAGAATGAAAAAAACTAAAATAAAAAATTAAGGATAAAAAAACTTCTCTTAAAAATTATAGGAACTAATTTTTGGCAAATTAAATTTAGCGGGTATTTAATGGGTATTAAATGAGCGGGTAAACTAGTATGGGCTGAGTAAAGATTTATATGGTGATTTCTTAATAGGTAATGGGTAGGATAAAAAATTGAATTAATGGGCCGGGTACCTGCCCATTGCCATCCCTACTCCCAGAGCTGTTGCTGCTGTTGGCATGTTTTAGCTTAGGTTTAGTAAGCTATAATCTGTTTTCTTTTTGAAAGCTGCATTATCCTGGTTTATTTTTTATAGCTTTCCTATATGTTTTTTTCTCTGCACTTGGAAACCATCCTGCATACTCTCTGTGTAGTTGAGCAGACTCCGTAGTGCTCTTTTTAATTTAGTTTGCTCATTTACTAATCAGAAAAAGATAAAATACAAGACTGGCTAGGATGAAATAATTTTCATTTACATGTAAAGGAAATAGATATTTCTAGATTTATGGTCAGTAAACATTGAACAATTATTTTCTGATAATCTATTTGATGAAAAACTTATTTGTGAAAATCATATTAAGGAAATACGACATGTTTTATTTTTCTCATTGTCTGATTTATTTGCTTCAAACTTTCTTGTCTCTCTTGGAAGTTTGTGATAGTTCTGAAGCCCAAAAGAAACCAATTCAAACTATTTGCTCTATCTTGAACATTCTAGTCTTTGGCATCTGTTATGTCAAGTTGGCAGATAGGGTCATCAATACAGTCTCGAGGGGTGATTTGATTGAACCTCTAATCTGTCTATCATTGTCCTGGTAATTCTGGGAGATAAAACAGTAGGTCCTCATGAAGGAATATTCTGGTTCGTCCATGTGGTATATGGACCGAGATTATAGTTGGTTGTTAATGTTTTTGAACAAACTGATGTAAGATTGTGTTAAATGAAAAACTTGGTTGTGAGAAATTCAGGAATCCAATTAAAATTCTGATGTCAGTGTTAAGTAATGAAAAACTTTGAAAATCATAAAATGATGTAAAGAAGGGATTCGGATGGCCTAATTACCAAATTCATTATCTTATCCTTCCTTTTTCCTTTTTTATTTTTCTCGCAATACCCAATTTTAAGTTTCTTTCATCTTTTAGTGACGCCTTTTAAATTCCTTTTAAGGTAATGATTTTCTTAAATTCTGTAACCTGTGAAAGTTGCTAACCACTTCAACAAGCTTCATATTATGACTGATCACAAAGACCACTTTTGTGCCACTAGCAGCTGTTGCAACCACCGTTATTGCTGTTGCCACCAATACTGCCATTTGCTTTGCTGTACTGTTCTCATCACCACTGTCAGCACCACGATTTCAATGGCTTACTAGCTTTTGCCAATTGCTTCCAAAATGCCATCATCACTAACTCCATTATCAGAGCTGCACCAGAATAACTGATGTTGACATTATCACTACTATAGTACTCTTCAACCACTCGCCCTGTAGCTGACTGCTACTAAATGCTACACTGTTCTTCTTTACAAAACAGCCAAATTATTACTTGCTTTCTAGGATACAAATGGTTTTGTGGGGTGCTGGGTATAAGCAGATGAGGAAAAAGTGCAGTGGTTTGCTGTCCATGCAGGCAGAGCAAGGATGCTGTATTACAGAGGACTTGTTACTAAGATTGAACTTCTCTTTTTTTTATTTTTTATTTTGTGAAGCAGCAACCTAACTATTCTGGCCCCACTGCCTATGCGATTGTTTGAAAAACACAGTAAGGGATATTTTTTGAAGGAAAACGTGTAGAAATACTTACAGCTCTTTTGACCTCTATAGGATGGATGCAGATTTGATTGATGGGCTGTCATTAGCATAGGCATGTAGAATGCTCCCGTAAAGGAATATAAAACCGCCTCTTTGTCTCATAGCTTGTATGATTAAATCTTAGAAGGTTCCACTAGTTGGCTCATTCGTAATGATGATATTGTCTAGCAGCATGGTTCAATCTTGAAGTTTGGATTTTATTGCTTGCTTGTTGCTACTAGTGGTTTGATACTTTTAAACATAGCACTCCAACTGTACCATGTTTCTGAGCTAGATCTTTTTGGCTTTTTGTGTCAATGATAATTTTTATTTACAGAATGTAATTACTTTTCTTTAGTGATAAAACTATCTTTGACTCGTTGCCTAGTTGATGTAATTAATTAGTATGCATTGCTGATCATCAGGGAGCACCAGCTACTGTATTGATGGACTTGGAGACTCTTCTTCTGAATAACTCTCAAGCAGTATTGAACGACTTCAAATCTTTATTTTCACTTGTTCCTTTGTCTTTTTTCTACTTCTTTGAAATAGTATTTTGTTACATTTGGTTCTGATTTATCAACAACTTGCTGCTTCATGATTTGAACTTGCATTATGTGGTGCCAACCAGGAACAAAATGAAGTACGTTTCTGTGCTTTGAGATGGGCAACATCTTTATTTGATTTGCAGCATTGCCCAAGTCGATTTATATGTATGCTTGGAGTAGCAGATTCTAGGTTGGATATAAGGTATTGAAGTTTAACATTCTACATTTATCCCACAACAGTTGTTTGCTTTTATATACATTGGTTCTACTTGGTTCATCATATTGCCAGTATTCAGCATCTTTTTATGGCTCATGACAAGATCCAGTACAGATACATAGGTCTTTGTAGCAGAACACTGTTTGATATTTGATTGCTTCTCTTTTTCTTATTTGTTTGTTGATAAAATGATAGTATCATTACAAATCTGGATCAATTGTCTATATCTGTGGCTGGCTGTTTGTGTGCATGCATGCATGTTCATTGTTCCATAGTGAAATTATCAGTTACTCCCAGTGTATTGCTCGTTCACTCACATAAAAGTGGGCCCCACGTTTATGTGAGGGGAAGCAATTCACCAGGAGTACCTAATAATCTCTCTTGTTCCACATTGTGATTCTATGTTGAAAATTCTATTACAAGTTAATTCATAGTTCTCAGTATGTTTCTTCTGTTGCTTGGTTTATGAGCCGGCTGAATCATTTTATTTTCTTTTCATCCAGCGTTTTGAATGCACGTGCTTTGTTACTTTATAACCTGTACATCGGGCCTTTTATGTTTTTTTTCTTGGAACCTTTTCTGTTTCTTGCAATGCTCTTAAATCTGTTAAACTTTTTCCATTTTTCTCAGTACAGTTTTCTTATAGCATATATTGTTCAAGTGAGGTAGGACTTTCAAATCCACAGAGAATTGTCATTTTTAACTTTTGAATGTCAAGAGTCAAACAGAAAAGGAAAGGGGGAAGGGTGGATTTGGTTCTGGATAACGTTACTCTTCTATTACTGTATTAGAGCTTCCAATCTCGTAACAACTATCAATGTACAGTATTTTCATCCAAAGGATGGTTGTTTTCACACTGTTATTTTTCATTCTGGAAACCTAATGCCGGCCTCTCTCTCTCTCTCTCTCTCTGTCTAGGGAAATGGCAATCGAAGGCTTGTTTCTTGACAAAGATGGAGGTCAAAGTAACAGACAGAATATTGATCTTAAATACCCAAAACTTGGAGAGATGTTGGATTATATTCTTAAGCGGCAACCAAAATTGCTAGAGACCAGTGAAACAAGGGAACAAAAGCTTGTTTTTCCATCTACAATGTATGTGGCTATGATCAAATTTTTGTTGAAGTGCTTTGAGTCAGAGTTGGACCAAAACAACTCTTTAGGGAGATCAACTGAATTTCTATCTTCAGTGGAAACAATGTGCTTACTGCTAGAACATGCTATGACATATGAAGGCTCTGTTGAATTGCATGCCACTGCTTCCAAGGCATTAATTACAATTGGATCTTATCTTCCAGAGGTTTGATATCACATTTTTCTCTCCGTTTATGTTGATTTTTTTTTTTCCCTTTTTGTATGTTGATAAATATTTTTTTTAACTCTCTCTTTCTATAGATGATTGCATCACACTATGTGCCTCGAGTGTCATGGCTAAAGCAACTACTGAGTCATGTAGACTTAGATACTCGTGAATCTGCAGCACGCCTACTTGGCATAGCTTGCTCTGCTCTTCCCCCTCCGCATCATCAGATCTTATTTCTGAACTACTTTCTGCAATTAATGGAACAAAAAATTTAAGGTTTGTAGTCCATCAAATCGAGTTTCTAGCTTTGTATTTCTTCATCTTATCTAGTGGTGACCATTCCGTTTCTGATTGTAGAGTTTATTACCATCTTTTTTTTTCCCCCTTTTTTACTTTTCAGGTTTGAGTCACTTCATGGAATACTGTGTGCAATTGGATATGCTACTGCAGAGTGTGTCTCCAGAGCGGATGCTGTAAGTTGCATTTTTCTGTAATACCTCTATTTGAAATTTTCATTTAATGAACCTAGGACCTTACTAAACCCCTTCCTACCCCTGTTTTGAGCAAAACCCAAGCACCATATTGTCTTCGTCATTGATCATCCTTAATTTTTTACGAGTACATCCTTTCGTGGTATAATTGCCTACATTTCTATCACTGCAATCACAATTTAACACATTAATCAACATAGGCACTGTCGTGGACAATTGGAAATGTACAGATGTAAAATTAAAGTGGGAAACCCTTAGTATTTGGACATCACAGACAACAACTGTTTCCTCAAGGATATTTGGGGTTTGCTATGCCAAAGACCTTGATGTCGATATCGAAAGTTCACATGCCATGCAAAATTTACAATTTAGCTTTCATCTTTTTTTTCCCCCCTCTTTGAAGAAATTTTACATGGTTTTTGTATGCTTCTCATGCACTTGGTATGTGCCTCTTTTTTGGTTTTTCCCATTAAACGGGGATGTTAAGTCTTATTTGGTTTCTTGTTTATTTTGCTTTATTCTTTGGTGTTTATTTTGTTTCCTTTTTATCTTGCTATTGTATTCTTCAAAACTTTGGCATTCGTTAATCATTTTGTTTTATATGCAATTTACTTTATTGTATTTCTGGAATTTCAGTATCTATGTTAGCAGTTTGTATCCACCATTTCTGAAATTGCTATTTGCAGATACCAGGGACAATGTTTCAGAAAATACTTAAATGCCTGACTGGTGTTGCTGATTCTGAGACTGCAACATTGGCCTCTGTTGCTATGCAAGCTTTGGGTCATATTGGATTACGTGTACCATTGCCTCCTCTTGTTGATGACTCTAGTTCAGGTGATGTTCACAGATTCCCGGAATAGCTGCAGAAAGGGGGAAAATATAGTTATAAGGGTCAGTGAATAACATTATTCCATGTTTAAAACTGCAGTTGACATTCTGATACTCTTGAGTGGAAAGTTGAGCAAGCTACTCTCTGGTGACGACACCAAAGCAATCCAGAAAATTGTCATCTCCCTTGGACACATCTGTGCGAAGGAAACATCACCCTCACTCCTGAGCATTACCCTTGATTTGATTTTTAGTCTCTGTCGGTCGAAGGTGTGTAGAAAATAAATCCTTTTTTTATGATCCTATCTGCTATGGTGACTTATCCACCTGCTTGCAGTTATTGGAATGATTCTTTGATTGAGATTTCATGTGTTTCATATCTGTTTTGGAGATCTATAGGTTGAGGATATCCTGTTTGCTGCTGGGGAGGCTCTGTCGTTTCTGTGGGGTGGTGTTCCTGTGACAGCTGATGTGATTCTCAAAACTAACTATTCTTCACTTTCCATGACTTCAAATTTTCTTTTGGGAGACATAAGCTTATCTTTGTCAAAATACAACCCTAATGAGAAAAGTGAAGCTAATGAAGATTACCATGCCACCGTTAGAGATTCAATTACTAGAAAACTGTTTGACATTCTTTTATACAGTAGCAGAAAAGAAGAACGCTGTGCTGGAACTGTTTGGCTACTATCATTGACAATGTATTGTGGTCGTCACCCAACCATCCAACAAATGCTTCCACAAATTCAGGTTTGTCAATATCTAAAAGGCTAAAATATCTGCCTTTTTTATCTCCCTGGTTTTTTTAAATAATATCCCCTTCATCTTTCTGAGTTGGCATGTTTGTTCTGTTCTCCTTTTGTAAAGTAATAAGGTTGTGGATGGCATGTTTAAGCTACTCGCTCATTTAGAAGTTTTAACCTACCTTATCATTTGAGATAGGCTGCATGGTTGGTATATTCTATACATTGCAAGATAAGGTTCCTAAAGCAGGCTGAGGTGTCTGCAATTTATCATGCCCATTATCTTTAGCACGCTTTTTGTTAATATTGGAGAATCTTTTCCATTACCTTTCTTTCCCCTTTGCTTAGAGCTTCATCCCTTGTTCCCTTTCCTCACAAGCCACTAGTCATAATGTGAAAAGGATGATGAATCAATAGGTCAACTTGTGTTATAGTGCTCGCTTGCTAGAGATTTGCTATTTTTGGCATACACTGCAAGTTGCACGACATCAAGGACAGTAGTTAAAATTTTTGGAGATTTGGAGATGATTTCACGGACGTTTATTCCACCTTGTTTGCTATGGAGCTTTTAGAGTGAAAGAAATAGTCTGGCTTTGAGGCGATTGTGCATTCAATGAAGGAGGTTGAGGAATCTTGATTTGGTTTCCTTGTACTATTTTCCTTGTTCTCTAATCCCATTCTGGAACTTATTCAGAGATTTGTGTTATTATATCTTTTAACAGATAAAAGAAAAGGTTTGACATGTTAAGAAATTTCAAATTTGCATCATTCATTTAAGTGACTCATTTATCAACTAAAATCTAGTTATTAAACCTTTCATGAGTGCACAACTTTATTTTAGGAAATGTTCTTATTATTTTGAGTACTGTATTGCTTTCAGTTTCTTGTAATTCTGTTAAATGCTGTGGGGCATCTGTTTAATAATCAAATGAATGCAGGAGGCTTTTTCACACTTACTTGGTGAACAGAATGAACTTACACAAGAGCTAGCGTCACAAGGGATGAGTATTGTCTATGAGCTTGGTGATTCAGTAATGAAGAAAAATTTAGTAGATGCACTTGTAACCACTTTGACGGGTTCAGGAAAGAGGAAAAGAGCTATCAAGGTAAAAGCCTGACTTTTTTTCCTTCTCAGGGAGAAGGCATGCTATTTATTATCTTCTCCTTTGATGCTTTTTATGTGGGTATGTTGTGTTGAGGATAATGTCTGGAGCTTTTAATATACAGCTGGTGGAAGACACTGAAGTTTTCCAAGAGGGGGCTATTGGTGAAAGTCTGAGTGGAGGGAAACTCAGCACTTACAAGGAGCTTTGCAGTCTAGCAAATGAGATGGGCCAACCAGATCTGATTTATAAGTTTATGGATCTGGCTAATCATCAAGTTTCTCTAAATTCCAAGAGGGGTGCTGCTTTTGGATTTTCCAAGATAGCCAAACAAGCTGGAGATGCTCTCCAACCACACTTACAACTATTGATTCCACGACTTGTTAGATACCAGTACGATCCTGATAAGAATGTGCAGGTGAACAACCTTGAAGACTCTGAACCAAGATAAAAATCATTTAGCTGTTCCTGAATACTAAGATGAACTATGAAAGTCTTTGATAACTAATCAGTAGCTTAGTAATTTCCTGTCCCTTTCTCATTGCTCTTTCTTCTTTCATCACTTTTAGGATGCAATGGCTCACATATGGAAGTCACTAGTGGCTGATCCAAAGAGAACTATTGATCAATACCTGGACTTTATTGTCGATGATTTAATAATTCAATGTGGATCTAGACTTTGGCGTTCACGTGAGGCTTCCTGTCTTGCCCTTGCAGACATTATTCAAGGGCGAAAATTTGACCAGGTGATGTACTTGCTGTTTTTGCATTTTTCTTTTATCTATTTTGACATGGTCTCATCTTTCCATTTTTTCAGTCCTTGATTTACAATTGAAAGTATTCCCTTCATTATTTCATTATGTTATGTGCTTTCATTTGATATGTATTTCACAAGTGGTTTTGTGAATTATTGTTTCATTATGTTATGTGCTTTCATTTGATATTTATTTCACAAGTGGTCTCGTGAATTTATATAGTCAATGTCTCTGTTTCATGTGTTAGAGAATGGTATAGTCTTGTACTTAGAGCAACTGTCTCATTACATACCACCTATACAATTTCCATCCCATACAACTTCACTGGGCCTGGGCCACTAAGTTAAATTCAGATAAGTTACTTGCATGTGTTCTCATCATAAACGACTTTCACATAACATAACTAATATCTCCACTTTGTCTGTTTAATTTATTTGTGGTCTTCTCATGCAGGTCGGAAAGCATTTGAAGAAAATATGGACAGCAGCATTCCGTGCCATGGATGACATAAAGGAGACTGTCCGAAATGCTGGTGACAGATTATGCCGTGCTATTACGTCCTTAACAATACGGCTATGTGATGTTTCACTTACCGAAGTATCAGATGCCAGAGAAGCAATGGGGATTGTTCTGCCGTTGTTGCTTGCTGATGGCATTTTAAGTAAAGTCAGCAGTATTCGCAAGGCATCAATTGGTGTTGTTATGAAGCTTTCAAAGGTCAGATATAATTAGCAATGTTGTCATGCTGAGTTGAGTGCAATAACTGTATTTCTGATGACATTCTACTACCTTTGATTGCCCCATGAAACACCAATATATCTGTATATCGAAGCCACCTTTGAAGGGCAGATAGTAAACATATGTAGTATATTATGTTTCATTTTCATGACATATTTAAAGGAAAATGTTAACGCGCATATCCATGTGTATCTAGGAATTCAAAACTTGAATAGATCAACATATGTATGTGTGCACGTATGCTTAGCAAAGACATGATGTATAAACCAGTGACTAGGAAAGAAAAACCTGATTTCCCCATGACTATTTTAACCTAATTCAACCTGATTGTGAATGCTGAACTTACAAATTACCTAATAGGATAACTGCCTCAATCTGTTAAACTTTTGTACTTGATTTAAATATGAAATTCCTAACCAAGAACACACAAGTGCTCAATTATTATAAATAGAGATCTGTCTTTCATTTATTGCCAGTTTAACTGTTGCACAGTGAATCTTGTTTATCAATAAACTGTTGCACAAGTTTCATATCCTGAACTTCATCTGGCTAGTTACGGATGATGAGTTTTATTGACCTGTTTTTACTATCAACTGTAGTGTTGATGTAATAATACTTTTAGTGTCTCACTCACAGGGTGCAGGGATTGCTCTTCGTCCACATTTGTCTGATTTAGTTTGTTGCATGCTGGAAAGTTTGTCAAGCCTTGAAGACCAAGGTCTCAATTATGTTGAGGTTTGTGCCATTATAGCATTTTACAAAAGTTCCATGCTTATCTTTTTATTCAGTTGGTCAGTTCTAAAAAAATCTTGTTTAGTTCAGTTGTCAATGTACCTTTTCTCTTCTAGTTGCATGCAGCAAATGTTGGAATACAGGCAGAGAAGCTTGAGAATTTGCGGATTTCAATTGCAAAAAGCTCTCCAATGTGGGAAACTCTTGACCTATGCATAAATGTTATAAATACCGAATCCTTAGATCTCTTGGTTCCTCGCCTTGCTCATTTGGTTCGATCAGGTATTGGACTCAACACTAGGTGAGTAAGTGAGCTTTTTTTATCTTTTTTTTTAATTGGTACAGAAAGGAAGTAAAACTGCAAAGGAAGGAAAAGTTACCATCCGAAAGAGGTAAAGAGATGGAAGAAATAGGAAACAGGAAGAAATAACTCAGCACTTGTAAAATGCACATCAAAAGAGTATATTCACAACAGTTTTTTATTTGTATGGGTATTTGACAAAGCACTAAAACAAGGCATCTTCAAAACAAATTTAGAATTTTTATCTTGTTTGATTGAGTAATAAGTAAAAGTACAAATGCGCCCAATACAACTAATGACCTAAACTTACAGAACTTTTCCTTTAAATTTTGAGAAGCAAAGACAATTGGCTTTTGCTTTGTATAGAAAACATCCACCATACAGGTCTCAGAGGTGAACTTTGAAGAAAGAAATGTTTTACAAAATCTAAGAATGAAGCTCCCAAAGTCATCCAAAATTGATCTCCTCTCCAAATAATGAGATAAAAAGTCATACATCCTTCATAATAACTGAAGTTGAGCAGATGATAGATCCCCTGTCAAACCTGACATGAATTTCCAGCTTTAGCGTGCCATTCTTATGCCATGATCAAGGAACTGTACTATTCAAGCTTTGAATAATTTTTCGTGCTCCAAGTTCATGCATACTAGCTTGTATGCTGAATTTCAATTACTTTAAACTTGTTTTGGTGCTTTTGTGCAAAATATCATTTGTCATACACTGGTTTTCATATACTCAAATTAGAAATTCCCTTAGAACAAAACATCTTATGCAGTGAAATTATTTAATTTAATCCATTGAATCGATAATAGGAGGAGTTCTCTAGCAATTATGTGGAAGGGAGAAAGCTCGTAAGGTTTTATAGGTTTTCATAAGATTTTATGGAGATGTGCTTTTAGTGTTATACTATTTGGTGGATTTAGATTGAGAGGAATGCGAAATGGCTATTTTTAATAACCATTTCACATCAAAGCTGTTGTTGTTGGGATAGCGTTCTTGGCTTCTGTGGTGTCAGGCTGCTGGGGCTTTTGGAGGTACTTCTTTAGCAGATATACAAAGGGATTGGGGTGCTTTATTATTTTGATCTAGTATGGTGTTTCTTTTGCTATTTGGGAGGATGTCTTATTATCCTTTTGTGTTCTCTTTTTCTTCTTTCTAAGAAATTTTTTTATCAAAAAAATAATAACAGCAGGACTTCAATTTTACAAGTCCTTATGTCATTTGGATAATTTTAATTAACAAAAACAATATTATCCCGCACATAATGATCTGATGTACTAAAATCAAAACTATGCAGCTAAAATTATTTTTTAATCAACCAAGATGATTATTACATCACCCTAATTAGGCTAAAGACTTGTAGGCTGTGAAATTGGGAGTCTGAATTACCTAATTCTTTTTCAAACCTAAGTTATTAGTCCCTGATCACTTTTGAACCGATACACAACTCACGAATTCTTCTTGGAAGAATGTTACCCTTTCTCAATTAACTAAGTTGTCCTGTATCAATAATTCGGTGATTTAATTAAGCATTAATTGATATTATTATTGCAGAATTTCAGTTGAAGGTATCAAGAATGAAAATCAAATTTTATCTTTGTTTGCTACAGGAACATGTAGTTTCTGAGAATTGTAGATGTCTCTATGTAAGTTGAAGCCAGTGGTTGCTGATGGCGTCCATATTCTCATCATTTTTGTGTTGCAGGGTTGGTGTGGCCAGCTTTATCAGCTTGTTGGTTCAAAAAGTTGGAGCAGATGTAAAGCCATTTACAAGCATATTATTGAGGGTATTGTTTCCAGTGGTTAAGGAGGAGAAAAGTTCCGCTGCAAAGCGTGCATTTGCAAGTGCTTGTGCCATGGTTTTGAAGCATGCTGGTCAATCTCAGGCCCAAAAGTTAATTGAAGACACCGCAGCTTTGCATACTGGGGAAAAGAATGCTCAAATTGCTTGTGCAATTCTTTTGAAAAGCTATTCTTCTGTGGCATCTGATGTTCTAAGTGGATATCATGCAGGAATTTTTCCAGCTATATTTATTACAAGGTCTGCATCAGATCCTCTACTTAAAACTAACATTTTAATATCAATGACTTCATTTCTAGAGAATTGCATTTAGGAAAATATGCTTGCTGCACTAAAGAAATTAAGGAGCAATGCGGCAAACGTAAATGAGTTTAGGTAAGAGCACAATAAAAATTGTCATTTATCTTGTCTCTCTCATAGAAATCCAGTTGGAGTTGCATCTTAAATAAGATTAGCCAAATCAGTTATCTTGCTGTTGCTGGTGTTGTTGAAGTGACTGTTTCAGAATCTCTCTCTCTCTCTAATTTTTTTTTTGGTAATTCTTTCTGGAAGTTTATTGACTTCCAAGTCACTTTCATATAGCTCCAGAAGTGATTTTGAGTACATTTGACCTAGGACTTCTGTGAATGGTGAGTATTTTACATGTTATGTTTATGGCTGAAGGGATATAAAGACTAGCTTTCTTTACCTCACTTTCCTGTATTTCATAATACCATCTACTGATTCTCAAGTATTTCATATTGGAATATCAAAGTTATCCATGTAATGCTTTTAATTATCTTATGCAACCACGTAACTTCTAAATGCAACTTCTCTAGGGTCATTGTATTCATTTCCACTTATTCTCAGTATATGATGCTATGTTATAGCAGCCTTGATATATTCATTCAAGAGATTCGCTGTTTGGATCCTCACTAACAAGTTGTTAACACTTCTAAAATATGTTCAGTTTTTGCAAATGAAATTCTTCTCTTTCTTCAAAACTTAGCATGTCAACTCATGTACAGATTTGAAGATGACAAGTATGTTTCTGGCCTATTTGAGGAGTTGTGGGAAGACAGTACAAGCGGTGAACGGATCACCATTCAGTTATATTTAGGAGAAATTGTTTCTCTTATTTGTGAGGGCCTTGCGTCGTCATCATGGCCAAGTAAAAGAAAGGCAATGCTCTCTTTACTTCTATTACTGGCTTCTAAATTGACTGCAATTCTCAACCCCTTTTGTGTGTTACTGATAAGTATAAGATTCATGGTTGTTGCTTGCACATGCAGTCAGCCAAGGCAATTTGCAAGCTTAGTGAAGTTTTAGGCGAATCATTATCTTCTTATCACCATGTTCTGCTCGACTCTCTTATGAAAGAACTTCCTGGTCGTTTATGGGAGGTAGGAATACTCATCATGCAATTTTCTATTGGAAATGTGACACTTCACACTTAGAAAATAGAACATTCCCTTAAATTTGTATTTGCACCAGAGTTTAATGTTTGCTGAAGATACTTGAAGTGATGGTTAATGATTGTAATTCTATGATACAATGTGTCATTGATTATGATGCCACTCCACTATATCGCTATAAAAGTCGATCACCATTCATACTTGGTGGAGTGCTAATAGTGCCATCCTATGTAACAACTGGACAAAGAGAGAGAATTTTTATTGTTTTTTGTTAGATACAATGACATTTTTCTTGCTGATGACTATCAATGTAACAGGGCAAGGAGTCCCTACTATATGCAATAGGCGCACTTTCTTCATCCTGCCATAAAGCAATTTCCTCTGAAAATCCTGCCACCCCTGATGCTATTTTGAATATGGTATCTTCTGCATGCACGAAAAAGGTGAAGAGATACCGTGAAGCAGCTTTCTCTTCTCTTGACCAGGTACTTAATCCATGATTATTCTGGAAAAGTATTAATAAAAATGATTCCTTTTGAAAATAATGTCATTTTTCATCCATTGCCTTTTTTGCAACACATCATTCAGTAGCAATTACTGGGCCATGTTTAACATCAAACAAGTTCAGAGAAGTTCTGATTCAACAAAATTCAGTTCATGGATAATAAAGGAGTTTTTATTTTTCTTTCATATGATTAGTGGCAACATAATCACACGATGCTGGTTAAGTCCCGTCAAAGTCTTCAAAAAGAAGAGTTTTTTTACTTTTCTTCTTCTTCTTCTTTTTTTTTTTTCCTGCATGTACGCCTGCATGAGTGCATGCATATGCAAAGTAAAGAGAGATTGCAGTTTCATGTCAGATTGAATCGGATGTCAGGAACAAATGTCCAATCGACTGATGAAGTAAATAGTTTACTTGGCTTGCTGTTTTAGACTGTTGAATAAGATGAATTGCATTTGGTTTTAACTGGTGGATAGGACTAATTCATATCTAGTCTGAATTTAAAATTTTTAGAACCCAATGTTTCCAATTAAGACATTATTGGGATGTTTGAATTTAAGTAATGGGAGAGAGAAGAGAAAGTGATGAGTGAAGCTCAATCTGTAGCGTTTGACCCCAATGTTAGAACTTTGAAGTGGTAAGAGAAGTATGGCACACTTTTTTTAGTAATGACTGTTATTCATAATTCTAGGGATAATATTAGAATTTTAATGTGGACCAATTTCCAAAACATCTAAATCTCTCCAACAGACAGGCCCCTGATAAGTTATTGGTGGTGATTCCTCTTCTCACTATTCCAGTTGTCTTCTGCCCAAAACACAACATTGATTATCTTTATTTCACTTCTAACTAAATTAGACACATTATAAAGCACTGTTTTCAAGCCAACTGAAGTTTGTTAGTCAAAGGTTCCATTCGCCTATGCCAAAGCTTTTCAGAATGGCTCATGGTGATTGCTGAAACTTTTACTTTGTTGAGCTCCCATTGATGTTTATTCTGAGAGTCAGCCTTTTCTGTTATTTTTATTTCTTAACTGCATTTAAGTTTTGCTTTGTGTACATCTCTTCACAGGTTGTAAAAGCTTTCGGTGATCCAAAGTTCTTTAATGTGATTTTTCCTCTATTATTTGGGATGTGCAACTCAGCTGCTGCCAATAAATCTGGGCCAGCACTTTTGGCAAGTGATGCTGCTAAAGCAGGTTGTTATGAACCTAGTTTTTATTCAAATGTTTTATAAAACCTTTTCCTTTTATATGTTTTCTTTGGGTGTTTCAATGAGGTTTTGCGAATACCTAGTTGAGCTGGATTCAAAAGCTTTGCAAATTGATCTTGGTTAAATTTGGAATATGACCATCACCTAGCATATATCGTGTCCATTTCATGTTTTCAATGGCATCAAAGCTTATCCTGTGTGAAGTTTGAGATTGGGTGCAGCCAAAATTTTAAAAGGATTCACGAGATTTGAATGTGACTGTAGACTAAAGCAACCATATCATGAACAAATTATAACAGAGGCTGTTCAACTGGTGCTGGTGTTGCTCTGCTTGACATGTAGCTTATATTAATCAGCAACCCATTAGTGGCCTGGTGATATACAGAATCTGGATGGCGGTGGTGGGTTTTGACTTTATACATGACACAACAATAAGAGCTTGAGCATGCTACTCCATCTTTCATTTATTCCATTACTTTTTAGAAAAATGCTTTAATGATGTCAAATTCTTATGTTTAACTCCAATTCCAAATAGGGACATCACAGATAATATCCCGTGACAAATGATCGCCATTTGTATGCATGCACAGGTTTATAATCAGATGCTTCTCTGAAATATTGATTTGTGAATTCTTAGCTTGGCTTACAGAAATGTTTGTCAATGTTTAATCCTGATGCGGTGCTGTGTCTCTATGAGTATGCTTTGTACAATGTTGCCTCTTTTCTACACCATGGTCTCTCTTCATAGTTATTGGTACCAAGAAGGTTAAATGAAATGGCAACACCTAATAATATAGAACTGTGATAAGTGCATTCACTAGAGCTCAAGTAATTGAAACTTTTTTGTGTTTTGCTTGCTGCATGTATATTTTCATGTCTTGAAGTTTATCCTTGGTTGTAATTTATAAATCAAAATATGACTAGAAGTGACTTCTTGTGGTTTAAATTTGGAATTAATCTGTTATGCTATCCATGCTTTGTCTTCTCAGTTTGAGCATTCAACGAATTTTGAGCATATTCATTTTCTTAGCTTTTTCCTCTCTCTCTCTCTTTTGCCTTTTTATTAGGTAAACATAGGAAACGGAAAATTGTTCCTGCATGTGCCTGACTTCTGGCTGTTTTAATTTGTGGCAATTTTTTATTCTCTCTTTGATTCCTTGTATATGCACGTTACTATATGTTTTCTCAATTAATCCTTCTGCCCTATATCAAAAACAATATTTTTATGACAAAATGCAGGAGATGATATACTCTTTTTACTGTTTCTATTGATTTGCTGGGTAGGCAAATTGAACTGTTACAGGTAGAATGAATGTTAAACCTTAGTCTGAGCATATGTTCTCCTGTGTGCAGAATCAGATGATGTTGACCCTGCTGTGCCACTTGAAAAGATTCTTGGCTGCATGATGTCTTGCATCCACGTGGCATATAAAAATGATATTTTTGAACAGAAAAAGAATTTGATGGGTGTGCTCTTGATCTCTCTCTCGCCTGGGTTTCAGTGGACAGGTATCATATTTTACAAATTTCTCTGATGTGATTGTTGCAAAACCGTACTTTTTAACTGTTGAATTGTTCTGGGCAGTCAAATTGTCTGCATTTTCATTCATTAAAGAACTTTGCTCAAGGCTACAGAGCATCCTGGCCGATGCCTCTGAGGGAGCATCTTGGCACGATAGCGCAACTTCCTTAGTTCAGGAGGTATTAGAGTTCATCTTTAATCTTGTATTTGGCTGAATTTTCTTGTTAAGACTTTGGACTGATTACTTTGTTGCGTGCAGCTGTTCCGTTCTCTATCACCTAAGATAGTTGAATGTATAAGCACGATAAAGATTGCCCAGGTATGTCATCCGTTCTGGAAAATATTCTCTAAGATAATTATGCATCAAACTTTGTTCAACATCCTAGTATTTTACCAAGCTTCCAAGCTTTTATTGTCTTCTCATTTTTCCTTTGAATTTTTTCTTTGCCCTAATTTTGTTATCTCAAAATGACAATTGAAGGCAAAGTAAAAGTTGAGGGAAGGCAGAATATAAGTTCAAAAAACACGATGTATCTCTGAACTCCTTGGTCAAGGATTGCTTCAGCATTTTCTATCATAATCTAAGTTTCCTCTTTCATTTTCTTTCAGAAGTGTTTAAAATTTAATTTTTTTACTGGTTACCTGTTACTCAATTTTAGGTTCACATAACTGCTTCAGAGTGCCTTCTGGAGGTCACCAAGGTGTGGAGAGGTCTTGGATCGGTGTGCAGGACTGATGTAGGGTTTAAGGAAGAGCTTCTTCATCAGTACGAAGTGGAAAAGAATGAGGAGGCAAGATCATATTTGAAAAAATGCGTTGACATATTTGAAGATCTAGAATGAGAATTTTAAAGCCACCTTAAATCTGCTTATCGATGTAAAACTAGCTAGTGCATACTTAAATTATCAATGAGAGGTCAAGACGTGTAGTCTGGCAGGTGATCTACGTTACATTGTGCTCCTTTCAGTGTAAAAGCTGTGTCCTGTAACAGTGAAGCTGGGGAGTGAGGGAGAAACAAAATTGAATCAATTGTATCAAACCTGTATTATCATAGAGTAGTTCAGAAGGAAAGAATTTCCAAAAACCCTGGCAAAGCCTACCAATTAAACATATAAAAAACAAGAGGGGAAAAAAAAAAAAAGACCTAGCCAGGAGGTTAAAAAATTAAATTAAACCGATACCCACCCCCCCTCCCCCCCCAACAAAACGCAAACACAGAAATTAAACCATGTTCCAAAATTGGCAAGGTAAACAAATTCGGAGTCCAATTTTCTTTTAATATTACTGTAAATCAAGAGATTGTTTTAGTGGTCAAATAGAACTTAGAATTTAATGACGTGAGCGGACTGTAAGAAATTGGAAGTACTCGAAAGCTAGCAACTAAGGCAGAAAAATATTCAAATGCACGAGAAACGGTTTTTTGCTGTACTGTGAAGAACCTCGGGTCGAAAAAGCAAAATCAAATGTCTCGATGTAATTCTTTGGTTTTTGTTGTAGAAAAAGACAAACAAATCAAAACACTATACACATAAAATGATTGTTACAGGGTTTTTAATACACGTATTATAACTCTTAAGAAAATATGTTATGAACCTTGTTTTTTTTTTTTTTTTTTATCAATTATAAAACTTTTCTTCCTTTTTTGGTCATAGATATGATAATGATTATACAGTCAAAGAATTAGCTTTAGTAGATAAAAGATAAGAAAATAAGAAAAAAAATAATCTATTTTTGCAACAAATTCTACCATGTCCTTCTCTAACAATAGAGTTTTTTTAAACTCCAATACACAACATGAAAATTTTAAACTCGCGGTCTTTTACAAGTGTAAGAGTTCATTATCATCACTGTAATATTTTTGAAGTGTAAGTAACTAAATAAATATTGTGAGGGGATTTATTAACAATAAGTGGTCAAAAGATGCACTTATTAATAAGATAAAAAATGATATATTATAAAAATAATTGTATCCAATCTTTTAGAAAAAAAATGTATTTTTTGGAAGTCTATAAAATTATAAATGGAAACTACTTTTATATAGAAAAAATTGTTCAAATGTCAAATAGAGAGTGGAGACCTATCTAGCATCATATTGAGAGTTCTTTTGACTTTTGAATTTAAATCTTGTTATCTTTATTCAGAAAAATTTATTCCTAAATTACTATGGTGACGCAGAGATATATTTTTTAAATAGTTTTAAAAGAGATATAGTCTTCCATAAATTGTCTTGAACGTAATCCTTATCCCGAAAAAAAATATATATTAGGAGTTAATTACAACAAAGTTGTTATAGTTTAAGCTAATCAGTTAATCAATTTTCGTAATTTCAAAACTTATAAATTCATCTGCACAATCTTAGATTCATTTATAACTCAGTCCAATTCTATGTTCTTTTTCATTTATTAGGCTTTTTAGTTTTTTGAAAGCAAAATAAAGGAGAAATAGGTAAAATGAGAAATTTGATAACAATTAGATGTTATTATCTGAAACCAAAAAGTACTATTAAATTTAAGATAATTAAGGTTAGTGAAAGGATTATTTAATTATTTTTTATACTATAAAAAATAATTAAATAATTATAATAAAATACAGAAATTAAGTTCTCATTGTCTCCAAGTATTGGAGAAAGGGCAATTCCGTCATATAAGTTTAAATAAGGACTTTGAGAAGAAAAAACATTACCATTGTACTAGAATTTTTTTCATTCAGAGTGAAGAAGTAGAAGAAGAAGACGAAGGAGAATGGATGCACAAGAATTTGAACGCCTCCTTGATCTCTTTCCTGTTGTCCGTCCTCGTAATTACCATGTAAAAATTTTTCCTCTCTCAATCGAATCTTAATTACTCTAGTTTCGGAAGTTGAGCTTTGTCGATTGAAACTAAACGGCATATATATTTCGCTGCCTCTATTCTTCGAAAACGAACTAGGGTTTATTAAATTTTACAGTGCTAGTATCTCTGTTTTTGCTGCTAAGTTGTTCAGTCTTTAGAGTTTTAAATCATAACATCGTTATATTTTGGTATAGTAGTAGTATTGATCATGAAACTCTCGATTTTAGATATGTATGAAATGGTGGCACGATTAAATATTATTATGAAGTGAGGATTGTGATTAAATAAATTTTAAAGCTTCCTGATGCTTGAAGCCCTTAAATTTTTATGGAAAGAGAATGAAATAAACTGCATGGCTTGTGAATCTCTAAGGGTGCTGTGATGCTCTACTCTTGTTGTATGTATTTGTATCGGTATCTGATGCTGCTGATGGTTTTGTAATAACTTTCTTCTATACCAGATTGAGATTGACCCATCAAGACAATCAACTTCTCGGTCATTCCCGAACCCGGTACTACTGAAACCTCTTTTCAGATCTCTCTCTCTCTCTCTCACATACACACACACACACACACACACACACACACACACACACATCCGAAATTGCCAGCTGTGTATGAGTGTAGACATTATGTTGTATTTGTAATCTGAATTAGCTTCATACATTCTGTTAATTGTACAGCAGGTTGAGGCTTGGCAAGAAGCTGAATGGGAGGAAGGTAAAAAGGAAATCAGCAATCAAGCTATTGATGCACAAGGTATGTTGTCAAATAAAATTTAGTCTGCTTGCTCACATGCGTCTCTCTTTGTTAGAAAATTGGGGAGAGTTAGACATATATTCCCATCGTGAATCAATGATTTTGATGTAAAATCTCTCGGGCAGCTTTGGCCTGGTAAGAGACCCTTTGCTTAATAAAATTTCCTCCAAGCCCCCAACTATTTTTTTGATTTGTGTTGTACTTGTCAGTCATTTTGGGGGAAAAAATCGTCCTTTTGAGTTACATTGGGATGGAATTTGCTTATGGTTTGTTAAGAATCATGAAATCATGGGCAAATTTCTGGGATTGGCTACTAAGATTCATCGAAATTTTTAAACTCTCAATCATTTTTGAAATATATGTGTATCTGTTTACTGTTTTCTTGTGTATTTCTTTAAATAGATGCATTCTGGGAGAAGCTAAAGTTGGCAGTTGAGAAGAAGGTATGATTTGCTGATTGTCATGGTATTTTCCTGCTTTGAATTAATCATGAAGCCTTCTTATGGGTACATTACATGTTCAAAGCATTTGGTACGTTGAAAATTTTCTTTTTCTAAAACAACAGGAAGCATGTTGGCCATTTTTTGAGCACGAAAGAATTAACATTGAGTGATTTTATTTGATGCGATCACTTTTGAGTCTTGAATTTGTCGAGATTCCTCTATCTTACCCCCGTTTTTGGTTTCTCTCAATCTTGCGTCAGTGATCTATTTGTGGATGGGTTGTTTCTCATTGAATGTTGTGCAAAAAATGGTCCAGCTGATTTATGTCCTTTGGCCATCATACGTTATGCAGAAAAAAAAATTATGTTTCCACCCACCCGAAGCAGAACAGTAGACTTCATCATTTCCTAGTGATAGGGATAAATGAATTTGTTGTTTATGACAAGTGTTGGTGTTGGCTCTTGTGGATATACAGGTGGGTGCAGCAGAGGCCAAGAGATTTTGCAAGGCTTTCCAAGAAGTTCACCAAAAACTTGTATGCATCTTTGTTTGAGAATCATATACATTACCCTGCATAAGATCCCATTTTTCTATTATCGATGTCTAACAATTCAAAAATTTTCATTATCTCAAGGTATATGAAGAACTGAGTTTGGATGCTGCCTGCAGCTTTATGAACTCATCAAAAAGCTCCAGACAGTAGCGTTTTTTGGCTGGCTCTGTACTTGTTCTAATATTGTTTTGATCTGTTACCTATTTTTGTTTTCAAGGAATGAAAGTAATTTGATCTTAATTTAGAACTAAGCTGCATGGCATCTTTGTTTTGTGAATGTAGTGGTTTTCCGTTTTCTTTTTGGGTTTTGCACAGTATATAGTCCGTGTACTTTTTGAATTGTTTTTATAGAAACTTATATTCTTTTTCGTATTAAATGAGTCCCTCTGCTCTTTATTTTATTTTGTTTTCTCTATTTTATTATAACACCGTTAGTTTGTGAACTGATACATGTCACGTTCACTTCTGAATGCATGGTATGTATCATGCATGAGATTTAAATAAAATGACTCAATCAAAATAATTCAAAAAATATAGACATTCAATCAATATAATTCAAAAGGTACACAGATCAAGTTATTATTTTTCTTTTTTAATTTTCATGATATTGTTTTTTTAAGATCTGATCTTGGATGCTAAGAAATGTGTCATATGTGTGGGATTTTATCAAAATAAAATCATGGAGTATTTTTTTAATTATTATAATAACTTAAAAATAATAAAATACATACAAAACAAATCTAACATGCAATTAAAAAAGTTGAGTACGAATATGTTAGTTAAAAATTTAAATAAAAACAACGTTAATGTTAATTAGTAGTTAATTGTCTATATAAAAGAAGAAAATATGGTGTAATCTTTCGTAATTAATTATTTACATATATGAAAAGAAAAAACTTGCAATCTTTAGTTTTATTTTAGGGAGCAATTCATTTTTCCCTTTGAATTTGTCAAATATTTGGAATTTTTTTATTATTTTAATGGAAGATTATCAACTAAAGATATGTGCCTAATTCATGTTGCATATCATCATATTTTTGTTTTAACGATTGCATTCTAGTTTTTCTTTTCTTTTCTTTTCTTTTCTTTACATATTATTTTAACTTGTTATAACAATTTTTTTTATAAAAAAAATTAATAGTTTTATTGTGATTGGCCTCACATATGATGCATTTCGTGCATTTAAAATGAAGTTTTTTTAAATAAAAATAAATAAAATGGAAATTAAAAATGAGAAAATAATAACTTGGCTCTATGTTTTTTTTAATTGTGGTTATATACTTACACACTCAACACACATACTCAATGCTTCTAACGGAACTAGTTAGTCCGTTAGTATTTGAATCCGTGACCTCTTGCAATAGATCACTACTATTGGGTTACACATTTTTTGATTAGTTGTGTTGATTGAGTTTATTTATTCTTTAAATTATTTTGATTAAGTCTTTTAATTAGATTTTTAAGTATGATATATGTTATGCATTTAAAAATAGACATATCACGTCAATTTACGAACCAACAATGTTATAATAAAGGGATAAAAACTAAAAAATAAAAAATAAAAAATAAAAGAATTTAATCATTATGAAAAAGAATATGGAATCTTAATCAAAACAGTTCGAGAGTACATGGATCATATAATGGGAAAATTTTTGTTTCTTTTCATTCCTTGTTAGTGGTTGATTGGAGGATCTTAGCACCTTAAGTTACTCGAAGCAATTATAGAAATAAATTTGGTGCAAGTTTTAAATTTTAAGCACAATTAACTGAATTAAGATATGATATTTCTGAATTATAAGCTCGGCAAAATTAATCAAAGTATAGAAGTGAGAATGAGAAGAATTTGTTTTGTTGGTTGGGTGATGGCAGAATCAAATGATAACTCTCAGTAACTGTGTGACTTAGCCCATCCTGATACAACTGAGTTTCATATTAGTCTAGGCGGTAGCGGGCAAAGTGATTTTTTTCTGCGGATCAAGTAACCACCAATGTATAGACGTATCAAGTATCTATCCATGTATGCATAACAAATTTTTTTTCTTGCCTTATTAAAGATTACTAGATGGGTAAATTACAAATAAATTATAAAAAATATCATGTAGTTAGGTGACAGGAACACTTTGCACTTCTATTTTTTAAAAATTACACTTTACATCTTTTTTTTAATGATGAATAAAATGACAATAATACACTATATATATATATATATATATATATATATATATATACCTCGTACCAGTTAAATGAAACTCATCTCATTCCTAGATCACATTTTCTCTCTCTTACTGTTCTCTCTCTCTTCGAAGAGAGAGAAACATAATCAAACATTAAAATTTACAACTAAATCTGTTGAAATCAAACCGTTTTCTTATGTTTGCTTGTTGATTAATCGTTTCTTTCGTTGTTTATGGTCAAATTGAAAACGAATCAAGGATGATTTGAAGTTGAAACGAAATACATGAAGCGTAATCTATTTTTTAATTTTTGAAACATAAACGTATTTAATTCATAAAATTTTGAGATTAGCATTACATTCATCTAATTCGAGCAAAACCCTTTAAAATTTTAAGTGTTTTGAAGGTTTTTTCATCCGCAATTGAAAATTCCAAAGAACCCTAATTTTTAAATTATTTAATATTCATCGAAATAGCTTGTTTATCCTTTAATTAATTGCTTTTAGTAAAACACATTTAAAAAAAATTGGGAACTTTAAGATTTTTTAAGTAAAATTTGAAACTCTAAAAAAAAAATCCAAATTTTTAATATTTATTTTTTTTTAGAGGAATTTGATTGTTTATGCTTTAATTTGTTGTTTTTGAGCAAAACCCATTAAAATTTAGGGTTTAATCAAAATGAGTCTAGGTCTTTATTTGCTAATGGTAGTGAAGATGGGTTTTTGTTAGATTCTGACTAGGATTTGGCCACTAGTTGTGATGATGATAATAGTGCTCTTGTTGATGATGTTAAATTTCTATTTAGAAATTTAGCTTAAAGAGAAATTTCATATATGAGGGCTTCTAATGCTTTCGGTGTTGAAGGATCATTATGTTTAAGTTTGATTGCTATTTTGAAGAACATTTTAATGGTTCGTTAAATGTCAAGTGACTTGTTATTCTTTGTTATCGGTATATATGTTATTTGTTGTTACTGAATGTGGATTTGGCGAGAAATTCGAACTAAATATGTTTGTCTTATATTAATGCAACTTGAAGATTTTGGATGATAGTTGAAGGTTAGAAAGACAAGAAAAAAAAAATTATTGTCTAATTTTTCCTGTGTGAGTGAATTTAGCAAGTGCATCTGATTTCATGGTCTAGGATTTAAACCAAACATAGAATGCAACAAGGATAGGCCATCAGAGTGAAGGATACTGCTGATAGAAGACTAAGAAACAGTGACTTTGAAAGGGTAAGGAACACTGCATTGAAGGCGCAACAACTCTATCTTGAATTGGAGAATGTTTCTCAAATGTTGGCAGCATGTGAGATTCATTGTTCTGCACAAATTAAACTAAATGGGTCAAAAAGGGATTGATATGGAATTCTCCATATGGCATTCTCTTAAGAAGGCAGTTGTCAAACAAGTAATCCAAAAAGTATGCGTCTTTGCTTCATCCCAACATTAACAAGCTTGTTGGTGCAAAGACGGCTTCCAAGCTTATTAGAGCACATAGGGCGTTTACAAATGAGGGGCCTTTATGGAAAGTTTTTGATTTCTTGTATGACTAAATCTTTTTTTTTTTTTCAGTGCTTAAAATGTTGAGTGTTTTGAATTAGAGTTTTTGGTACCTTGATCTAGATTTAGATGTTTGAAATTAGATTTTGGATGTTTTGAATTGAATTTTTAGTGTTTTGCATTAAATTTTCAATATTGTGTTGAATTTATTTATTTATTTATTTTTGAAATTGCTCTTTTTCTTTCTTTCTTTTTTATATACCGAAATGCTTTCAAAGGTTATTGTAGCCATTAAAAAAAATAATGGCTAACTTATAATAATTTGGACATTTTTTTTTATCAAAAAATTTGACACTGAAAACGGAATTATAATATAGGGTATTTTTTGGAATAAATATTAAAATCATAAGGTGTAAAGTGTAATTTAAAAAAAATGAGGGTGTAGAGTATTCTTGTTACCTAACTATAGGGTTTCTTTTTTCTTTTCGTAATTTACCCTTACTAGTTTCTTGACACTTATTTCGCACATGAATCATTTAACTAATTTATAGTGATTTTTCTAATTTCTAATTGATTATTTAAAATTATCTATAAAATAAAATTGAATATTAATTAAATAAGCATTTTTTATTTCAAATATTTCTTTATAAAAATTGATAATTATAATTAAATTATATATTTTTTTAATTGTTGAACCGTATAAAAATAATTTTTAAATGGGATTAAGTAAAACTTTGGGATAAAAATCGAATCTATCTTTCAAAACTTAACAATTAATAGTTAATATAAATATATATAACTTCTAAAAATAATAATTACTAAAAAAATTGCACCTAATATTATATTTTATGAACTACTTTTAATTTAAATATTTATTTTCAATTATATATGACATAAATATAAATTAACAAGCCATGACTAAATGTTTTATAAATTATTTTTTTAATCTTGTCTTTTAAAATATTATCAGCGTTTGTCCTAATCCTAATGAGTTAAATTAATGAAAGAAAATAACCAAAAATAGCTTATAAAAAAATTAACTAAAGTTTCAATTTAATAACTTGATGAATTTTAATGTAGTTAATTATTTTTGGATTTAATATTCTATTTTTTTCTTTTTTTTAAGTGTTTTTTTTTTAGGGTTTTGATAGTCAAGATAACTAATTAATAATTATGATAAATGTATATAATTCTTAAAAATAATAATTACTATCCTCAATTGACGCGATATTGGTATAAAAAAATTTATTTTAAATATTTCCTTTTAATTATAAATGTACATGAATGAATAAAATTTTATACGTTATTTTTTTAATAAATCTTGCTCTTTACTTTATTTTATTTGTATTTGTGCAACAAAGTAAAAACAACTTAATTCAATAACCTATAAAAAATGAAATAAAGATTCGCTCTAAAAATTTGATGAATTTTGATTCAATTTAATTATTTTTAGATTTTAATATTTTATGTTTTTATTTTTTCCGTTTTTAATTCTTTCTAGAGTTTTGGTAGTCAAAATAAAGTATCAATATAGAACTATATAGTTTAGGAGTGATTTAAATAGTTTATTTTATGTTATTTAGGGTTTTTTATGATGCATATATAATAAAGTAATGAAAAAAAATATTAACCTATATTTTAGGATTCATTTTTTTTAAAAAAAAAACAGCCTACTTCTTAGGAATCAATATTTTTTTAAGAATTTTAATAATATTGGTATTTTTTAAAATTGAGAAGGGGGTTGAATTTACTTATTATTATTGATAGTATATTATAATATTAGTGTTATATTAAAGACATAATACTCTACAGAAAGTTTTTAAAAAAATCGTATTTTTAGATGTAGCTATTGATAAATCCTGATTGATAAAGCATGGAATAAACCTAATTACCACAGGTGTTAAGCCTTAGAGAGAAAAAGGTAGGGTAATAATGTTTGGTGCATGCGACGTGTCGGCAACAACTCAACAAGGGATACGAGAATTCAGGGGGAACAAGCTGATTTGTGTAGAACCCTCCGGCCTCTGTGGTCTGGGCTCGGGCATTCGGTTCGTCTGTTCATTTACAACAAACAAACAAACAAGGAAGGGCAAAGACAAGGTGGGCAGTTTTGGAATTTGACAACAATAACATTAAACTCCACCTTAAACCCTACTGGTATCATCTCCAACATAACAAACCCACTTGAAGTAGCCCAGAAGAAGTTTCTAGTACTCTCTCCCTGTCACTCTCTCTATAGACTCAGTCGCTGTGGGTGAAGAACGACCAGGATTGCAGATGGCTAAGCGTTTGATTCCGACATTCAATCGCATATTGGTGGAGAAAATAATCCCTCCTTCCAAAACCAACTCTGGAATTCTTCTTCCTGAGAAAACCTCCAAGGTCATCCCTTTCTCTCATCTTGTTTCTCTCTTTCATTTCGTTTTCCCTTTAAGATTCTCTTGCATCATTGGAACTGCTTTGCTTGTGATGGTGAAGATAAAATTAGACTGATACCAGTACTTGGTAAATAGGGGCTGTTCAGAATTTCCGGGTTGATGGCTTGTGTGTGATTTCAAGTGTAATGTGTTCTTTTATTAGGGATTCTCTCAACTCTAGAGTCATTAGTGCTTTTGGTTAATCATAACTTGACTAAACTTAAATCGACATTTATTTTCGCTATTAAGAGTTGTCTTGCCTTACGTTTTGAATCTCAGAACCTACTGCAGTCACTCAATCTGGAATTGTTTCATATTTTAACACAAGATTCGAGCTCTATTGTAATTGCTAACAGTAACAGCTAAGTGCTTTAGTTTATATTTTAAAGGGTTTGTTTGGGGTTTGGAAGCACTTAGGTTTAATATCTGGGCAACAAAAAATTGGAAAGAAAGACTCAACATTCAAGTTCTAACGACTACTGTCAATTTTTATTCTTTTCTCTAGTAATTGCCTCTCCTTGATAGTGTAGCATGCTCAGCTTCTTTGTATTAGTTTCTTTCCAGTTTCAAAAATTTATGCCAGACAAGAAAATTGAAGATTAAAACGTTATTTTATTATGCTGTGATGTAAATCTACATTTATTCATTTGTTTGATTGCTGGATGCCTGGGGTGATTACTCATTGTTCTTTGATCTCATAAGTTTGTTAATGCTTCATAATTCCAGCTGAACTCTGGGAAAGTTGTTGCGGTGGGTCCTGGAGCTCGTGACAAAGATGGCAAGGTTATTCCTGTTGCTTTGAAGGAAGGAGACACTGTTCTTTTGCCGGAATATGGAGGCACTGAAGTGAAACTTGGTGAAAAAGAGTGAGTTTTTTACTGCCTCTTGAAATTGGCTCTTCTTTGAGGTTCAAGTCTCTGGTAGATGTTATGTAAAATGTATATGAGAGGTGGCTTTTGTGTGCTAGCTCATTTAGTTGTCTACTTGGTAGTATAAAGAATACCTTGACCATCTCTTTTAGCTATTCTGTGGCTCTTATTACTTAACACTATAATCTGGACAGTTCAGGATGGTGATTCTGGGGAACTTAATTATCTTGTTTTCTTTTGGATTATATGCATTCCGTTGTGTATTTACATTCATTGGAAAGATTTGACCACCTTCCTGCTTTACTCTGTTCCATTATGTTGTCCTTAAAAGGTCATTGCTGCATGCACCGAGGCAAATGCAGATTCCTTGATGTTTCTGGTAGTTTGATGCTTTCTTATATTGACTTTTGGTTAATCAATTGGTTTTGCTTCCCAAATTAAGGGGATGTGCATTTGGTAGGAAGTTACAATAGGGAGCCCTTGTTGAAAAATTGGGAATTTGGGTTAAATGCTGGCCTAAGCTCTAGTTTTTAATATTTTCTTTTCTTTGGCATGCAAAATTAACAAGTTAGACTGCAATTCAAAAAAAAAAAAAAAAAACTGCCAAAACATATCAAGTAACCTGAGTGTGCTACACAAATGCATTTATTTCCCTCTAATTAGACGATTGATGGTCACAAATACAGTATCTGATGATGTTTCCCTGTGGCTTTATGCACTGTTTCAGGTATTTTCTGTATCGAGATGAAGATATCATGGGAACTCTTCATTACTGATTCATAATGCTTCATCACATCAAAGAGTTGAAAACTAATTCAGTTACTGTCTCTATTGCTTAGATTTTGGTTATTGTTGGTTCCTGTCATGCTTAGTTGAGCTTGTATCAAACTTGAATGTCTTTGGTGGAGGAAACCATGTTGGAAATTAATTTGCTGCCTGGAATGGGAAGGGTGGACTTTTCACTTGCCATTTAAGGCATCTTCATAATTATCATCAATCACTTTGTGCATTACACATGATTGCTTATCATTGCCAATTGTATTGGGACGACTGGGGGATATTTAGGGTGTGTTTGTAAGGAGGGATTGAGGGAAAGAGGGATGAGAAGTGAAGGATTGGGTATTTTCTTTATTTGGTGAGAAGGATGAGGCCCTAAGGAAGAATTTGAAAGATAACTCCTATTTTTCCTCCCTCGTAATTTTTAATCTTCCTAGTTTGGGCAGATTGACTTTTATCCCTCTCCCTCTTTTTAGCCAAAAAACTTGATGGATGGGTTGACATCCATCCTCCCACCTATTCATCCTTTCACTTTTGTCCATCCTCCTCCGAATCCATCCTTCCATGCAGACCCTTGAAACTGTTTTTTGGGTTCAAGTATCACACAGTGAATCTTACCAGGCTAGAAACAACCCTCTTGAATGCAGATCATGACACGGATCAAGCATCCTTGACATATTTAACTTTGCAAAAGATGACGAGGCAGGAACACTAGTTTGGAGCCGCCATGGACAAGGTCTTGATCCATACCACACGTCAGTTGGCTCAGTGCTGCTGTAACGGACATTTGGATTAGAACTAAACATCTAGTTTCGCATTTGATGGTGTAATTTTTAAAAGGTTAGGAAACTAAAAAAAAATTACAGGTGAGACGGTGAATTGCTAAGGTATGCTGCCTTGTCTTTCGGAACTTATTGGTCAACAATGTGAAGTAGACGAGGAAGAAGCATAATCATATAAGGTTAGGCATTCGATGTTGCCGGTTTCTGTAGGTGTTTGGTAACCAGAAATGAAGCACCTGGTGTTTTAATGCCACTGCACTTTCGAGTTACACGAGTACGTGATCTACAATGCTGGCTTAAGTTGCTAATGGGCTGTTGGGCCATATGTACGAGTTGCTTTGGTCCATTCATTCTTTTTAGAGCAATGTAAATGCAACGTCTCTATCGCACATGCAGGCACCCCAAGCTGGACAGAAAGCTTCACAAAGTTTTCTGGCATAAACCTCCAAGATTATAAGATGTATCAAGAAAATGAGAGAGATCAACCATCTCTTTGGTTAAAATAATGCTTTGGCGATCGATCATACTAAATAAACTCTTGATTTCTTTGAGAGGAACAGAATTATGAAAAGGAAAATAATTTAACAGCTAACTCTGATCTGTCTTATGACAAATCATAAAACAGATAATCAAAAAGCTCGTAGCTCAGTGATAACAGTCTCTTGCAACAAGAGGTCACAGGTTTAAATCCTAACAGATTAATTTTGTTAAGAGCTTTAGGTGTGTGAGTTTAAAAAAAAACCATAAAACAAATAATTTTAAATTCATTCCAATTTCATGCTCTGTCTGTAGTCGAAAACCAGCATGATTTATGGCAGTCTAACTCTCTTATTTACCGTGTAGAATCGTGTACTGCTATTGATGAATGAAGATAACTATTTTCAGCATGCATGTAGCTATAGCATATAAGCATTAAATAAAGTATTTATTTTTAAGATATATTAGGTTGAGGCTTGGTAATTAACATTTTTCTGACTCGATTGCTTCAACGACATTGCTTTGGTTAATTAATTCACAACCACCAAAAGTGAAACACTGAACCACAATGAATACTGTCTGGTAGTCATTATAAACGAATCCATTGATGGCAGCAGTGTCATGGTACTTTGTTCACATGTAATAATTTCTTTCCATTTGTATGACAAATATATATATATATATATATATATATATATATATATACACTCCATGGAGTAATATTCATTTTATTACATTGCAAAATTAACCAATTTATAAACGCGTTGAACTTTTGCAGAAATTCGAACTTCTATATGAATTTAAACTTCAAGACTACTTGATGCAGCTCAATATATACGAGGACAACATAACGTCAAGCATTAATATGATCATAATTAGCAAACAAAATAGTTTTAAAAATTAGAAAATGAAATTCGTACATATATGAAGCTAAAACAAGCTTTCTCTCTCTAGCTATTATTACCTATTGTGTAAAGGATTGGGACCTGTATAGATTTTCCTCTTTTCATCACCGAAAGTTGCATCACGGCCTTCTTCATCTTTGTCTCCTCTTAGGCCACCACCATGAGATTGAACAGGACCCGTTAACTGAGATGTAGACCCAGTAGTTTTGAAGCTCCCATATCTGGCTGACCTATCAGGAAAAGATGAAGTTTCTAACAGCAGAAGTATCAAAAACATTATCGCTAGGCAAGCCAACTCTTTTCTTAAACCCATCATCAGCTGCCTCATTCTATACCTATATATATCTCAGACCATGCATAGAATTCTTGGCCCAAAACCCTATTTAAAAAAAAAAAAAAAAACTGAAAAAGAGAGGAATTTCTTTCTTGGATCTGATTTAAAAGGCCCTTTAAAAGGAAGCTCAAGAAAAATAGAAGAAAGGGTGTAGTTTTGGAATAGGGGGCTAAAGAGTTTTTGCTTTCTTCGTTTGGGCTCTTTTTGGGTATTTTTCTTTTTTCTTTTTCAGTGTGTGTTTCTGGTGGATTACTTAGAAGTTTGAGCTTCTGAAAATGAGGCTGGTCAATAGAGGTAAGAGTCAAAATGCATAGGGTTCGGTGCCTGAAAGGAAACAATAAATATGGTGCAGAGAGTGTTTGGATACTGATTTTCAGAGCCCATGTTATACTTGAGAAACCTTCATACAAGGAACAGAGAGAGAGAGAGAGAGAGAGAGAGAGGGAGAGATGCAGTTTCTGTTGTCAGATATTGTTATGTTGCATATATCTACAACCTAAGAGAGAGAGAGAGAAGGGTGTCTCAATACAACATAAATATTCTTGGGTCAGGTGATTATTGATTCAAAATCTTTTTCTGGATTTATTTTCATTTGGTTTGAAAGGAGGGGTGACTTCTGCAAGAAACTTGTTTGCGCTTTGTGCTCATGATGAAAGTGTTAGCTCGTAAGGTTTTCTAGAAGGCTTTATGTGTAGTGAGGAGTCAGTGGAGAAGCACATGTTAACATCGATCAGGAAACCAAAAAACATAAAATGGAAAGGGAGAAAGTAAGAGGGTTGTTGCTTTAATACCATACATCATTTCCAATGATTTTAATTCACTACAAGAGATCTACTTAATTATCCAAAGAAAGAAGATGCACGAGAGATTGTTAGCTATTGATTTTCCCCCCTACAAAAAAAAAAAAAAAAAGGTTCTTTAATTTTCACAAGATTAATTTATTGTGTATGTTGTAGCAATATATGGTGATGATCATATGTTTCATTGTTAAAAGCAAAAATCTGTCAAAGACAAAACCTCTAATTAAAAAGAGAGGATAAAAATATCAATTGATGAGTTGTATAGTGTTGCTTGATTATCAAGACTAAAAAGTTTGAAATGAAAATTAGAGAATCAAAATTTTATTTTTATTTAATACCATGTTTGCAATAGTAATAATCAATCCAAATAAAATTTTTATTTTTTAAAATAAATAAAAATAATGATTAAAAAATAATTTAACAAACTATGATGATAATAAAAATGATAAAATTGATTGCAGCGAGTTATAGTGGTAATAATAATATAATAAGAATAATAATATATTTAAAAAAAAATTGATATCACCATTATAGCTAATAATAGTTGAAGAAAAATGATGATAGCAGCGATATAATAAAAATGATGGGAGCGGCACTACTAGTGGTGGATATGGTAGTGGTTAATAAAAGTAAGCTGATATATAATAAATAAAAATAATAAATCAATATTTTCAAGAAGAAAAAAATCTCATTCTTCGTTCTTTTTTATTCTCATCTCTTTTATTGAAATGAAATTATGTTTAATTTATATTCTCGCTTCATTTTTTTTAATCAAACAACTTTAATTTTTATCCTCATCATTTTATTTTTTATTACTAAACAATACCTAATTAGTTCACTAACCAACATTATTATTTGAATTCGTGAGAACATAAGCATTATTAAACAGTAATAATAATTTATATATTTATTGGAATTTTGTTGTATGAATTATTTCTTATAATCTCCCAGCGATATTGAAGAGTTTTAATTTCTCTAATGATGGTAAATCTATATAATTGAATTGCCAAGATTATAGGATTACAAGAATAGGGATTTATTGTCAAAAAATATATCAATTTTTTTTAATTACATCTGCAAGTGAAATCTTTCTTCTAAATTGAAAAACAAATTAGTAATTAGATCAACCATAAGATGACAATCGAGTTACATGAGAAGTCCATTATCCAAGAAAAAAAAACTTACATGAGAAGTCACAGACGGGCACCAAATCTTCCACCACCCGCTTAAGATTTTTTCCCCCTCAATCTCGAGTTTAATGAAGATCTAATCCATTAAAAAAAAAAAAAAAAACAATAGAAAGGAAGAAAAAAGATCTAATCCATTCAAAATGGTCAAACTGGTAGGAGCTGACTGGTGGGGCGTGATGGTAGAGGGAGAGTTCATAGATGGAGTGATCTTTTTTGTTAGGAAAAATGATGTTGTCTTCATTCAGTTTATATAATCACAAAAGGAAAGCTAATATATATATACATGAAAATCATGAATAATTGATGCTATCACCTGCTAAAGAGGGCCCAATAAATGACCTAAAAACTTGGTAGCAACGAAATTACTAAAAAATCTGTGAAGATATATAGATAATCATCCTTTCTTTCACCATATTGCTTTTTAACATATGGCATGGATTTTTGTAAATAGGATCTTTTCCAAACTTTGAACTCAAAAGGCATGCATTTTATGCCGAATGTGTATCTATCATTGAAAACTAATTAAGCGGTACTGCGCAGTTCTCCACAAATGACAAAAATCAGGATTGAAGGTTGTGCATACGTATTGAGAAGGGAATTAGGGCTTGGTTTTAATTCATTTTGTCTTTTGTAGGGAAAAAAAAATCAGAGTACGTGGAATCAGCAGCGATTGGTTATCCATTTTTTAATACTTAATTGATATATTTTCTCTGTATGGTCTTTTAAGAATTTTTCACTCTCATATGTTTATATATATTTATATTTTCTCTCATATGTTATTTTGCTATTTTTTTTATTTTTTATTTGGATGAAAATGCTTTCAAACCCTCCAAAACAAAATTTGATTTTCAAAAATCTAAAAGAACGTGAAAATTTTATTTTTAAAAAAAACTAAAAAAAGAAAAGAAAAAATGTTTTAAAAAATGTATAAAAAAAAACTTGAAAGGCTTATAAACACATCCCCAACCCAAATAATAATAATAATAAAATACTAACATCTAAAATCTAAAAAATGAAAAAAAATCATGTTCATAGAGCCTCTATATGCATGTCAATAAAATAAATTTTACAAAAGATGAATTTTTTTAAAATTTTCATTTTTTTTATGTTTTTTTTTATATACTTTTTATGGGTTATTTAAAATACTAACAAAGATGAAGTTTTTATGTTTCTAGATTTTTTTGTCCTACTTTCTTGGTTTTCAGATTTTGTTAAGCTTTTTAGAATTAATTTTTAAGTTTTTATATGTATTAAAAATAAAAATTTCTTTTGGTAGTCCAAGCAAAACTTTATTCAAAAAGTGGCAAAATGACATATGCGAAAAAAAATATATGAATATACAAAAATATATGGAAGTGAATTTTTTTAAAAAATGACATGAAAAAATACACCTAAAATATAAGAATAAATAGATCGATTTATTTTTCTTCATGCATAAAAGCACATTTACTTCAAGGAAAATAGGAGACTATTGTCCAAAAAAAATCAAAACGTTAGAAATTAACTTGCAATCTATGTGTGTGTTTCTCTGCAGACAATATCTCCAATTATAATATTTATGAATTAGGGGCTCATTTTTGGACTAAGGACTACTACAAACTCCATATGGATATCAAATGTTCGAGGCATTCTGATCCAGTCCTATACAAGAACGTTATTATGGCCACTCAAGATCCTAATCCAGTCAAATAATTTAGGTTCTTAAATTAATCATCTTTATTTAATTTACTTCTTTCATTTTGATGGATCGAGCGAGATTGAGTTATCAAATGTAGATTCTTAATTAATATAATCATCTTTGTTTTGAGTTATAATGCTATGATACTCCCCATTTATTTATTGAAAAAGAATAAAAAAAAACATGTTATGAGGATATGCCGGATTTCAATTACAGTTAACTTCAAATTTAAATTTCATCTCTCTTTTTCTGAGGATTAGCATCGGTCTTAATTTCTCGTCTATGTTTTCCTTCCCCTATAATATGATGTGGCTAGAATAGAAAGATTAGAAAAGGATATATATGGACTCAATATGACTTCCCAAAGCAGATTTTTCTTAATAGAATCCTTAATCCCTTTGATTAATCTTCTCTATCTTCTTTATTCTTCCGTACTTCAATGAATGAATGCTTAATACAATTGATTTGATAAACAAAAGGAAATTTATATTACTCATGAAGTAACTAGTGTAAATAACATATTTATGAGATTTTGAAATTTTAACATTCATCTTAATTTTTGGTACGTGTACAAATAAATATGTGCGGGAATCATACTTTAAATAATATATAGTAATCTCCCAAAAGCCAACTCCTATCCTAGAGTAAACTAATTGCTTTGTTGACAAATTTTTGGTATCCAAATAACCAATTAATCATGCAAAATCCGGGATACTCTAGCATAAAGAGTTATCCATATAGTTTCCTATTAAGTAAGTAATAATGAGAGAAGGATTTGTTAGGTTCATTTACTCAAATCAAAATGAATGAAAAAGATAGCATTACCAGCTGTTATATATATATATATATATATATGGGCCAAGGAAACAACTTACTGCCATGGTACTTTACAGTGTTTAAATCTCCATGCAGGTCTATAAATGGCAAGGTGGTGCAAAAGGAAAGGAAAGTCCTCTTTAGCTTGAACACTAGGTCATCAATGTCCCTCTGATGCAATTCAGTTACGAATTGCAATAAATATAAAAGGAGACCACCACATATATTCTTATCAAGACCAGCTGTACATCTAAATCTTAGTGCTTACACCAGACAGCATATATACTTGTATTATTTAGATGCCTTACTTAGTTTTAATCCACATGTAATTGATCATGTACTCCTCGGCTCTTTCTCTTCTTGCAAGCTAGCATGCATTTACTGTAACAAATTCGCTAGGAAATATTGGGAATATGGGACAAGCCATGCAGTAGTACAGACACTATAAATTAAAGAAACATCTTTTTCATTATGATCAGTTGCATTGTACATGCACCCATACCCACCAGTCCACTCTCCAAAGTTGAAGCTGTGAGCTAAGTGAACACTTTGAGAGTGCTAAATGGCTTTGACTGACTTAGGAGCAGAAAAGAATAACACGATCGATCGGACAGCGTGGCTATGAGTATACTAGGCATCATTGAGGCAGAGAAATATATGCTGGTGGACAAGCAATTAGAGTGATCACTCTCTTTATTTGTTTGCTTTTTGTTTAGCTTTTCTTGCTGGTCAAGGTCATGGTGCTCTACCATCATTGAGATCTCAACTACTTCCATAAACTTTTACACCTTGTAGCCCCATGCGCCCTATTTCATGGCCCATGCAACTCTCAATAAGTAAAGGAAAATCGATCCAAATGATATTCACACACAAAAGATAAAGGTGAAAAAATTGTAGAGCAACATGGTGTCAAACATCCCGCGTTGTATAAGTACTGATTGACAAAGGAGCAGAAGCTCAAGATGATGACTCGGTAAATGGTAGCCAGTAGTCAACATTCGTCCACTTTATGAAGCGAAAAGAGAGTACACTTCTGATGGGGTAGTCGTCCACTTTATGAAGCGAAAAGAGAGTACACTTCTGATGGGGTAGTCGCTATTGCATCAACTACTAGGAATTGTAATCATTATTGGAACAATGTTTATAATCCTTCCAATTTTCTAGTTCGTTCTATTTCTTATCATGTTATCAAGGTTAGCCAGGCGGGACGAGATATAGTCTAGTTCACTTTGATATTTCCAAAGCAGCTAAAAAAAGGGTTTTTTTTTCATCCGTCAAAGTATTCAATCCAATCAAGACTTTCTAATTTTTTTTTTAAATTGTCTTTTTAAATTTATTAGGTCAGCTAAGAATAATAAAAATATCGAATCGCGTAGAAGTAGGATGATGAGATGGATGAACCATTCATCCTCTTCTGTATCCAACTCTACTAAAATCGAGTCAGATGAAAATCTGATCGGACAAATTGAATGAATCGGACCAAAGATCCAGTGTCTCGGGGGAAAATTGAAATTGTCATCCTCGCTAATTGCAGTTTAGCAATGACCAATGAGTATTGCCAGCCACTTGTTGACGCCGTACCATTGCCATTGGCATTTCTAATTACTTCCACGTCGCCTCTCTTTTCTCTTAATATTCCCCGTGAATTTTGATGATCTCAGTTGCTTTTTTTATTTTTTTATGGCTGTCCTTTAACGAGCAAACAGGATGATCATATAATCTACCATTGATCTTTTAAGCACACCAAAAGATGCATAAATAATCAATTACCTCGACTTCCAAATAGGGACCAGCGATTTGGATGCGTATTCGGTATTCCCATCATTCATCATCCCTTTCACCCGTGACATTCCTGTCATAAAAGAGTAGAGGTCATGGAGGAGAAATCAAGAATATGGGTAATTAAGCAGATGAAATGCATAACCATAGTGCTGATAATTCCTCGTCATCCAAGTTAAGCAGCCTTGCTCTTTGTTTAAGTTCATAGTTAATCTGAACTCCTTTTACCATGTTATGAGAGGAAAAGAAAGGGTACGTTTTCTATTTGCTGCAATTGGCAGCTTCTGCTCTAAAAGCAGATCGTAGAATACATAGAACATTTTGTTAAAGAAATTATAATTACTTAATTTATAGCTCTGGGTTTCTTTTATTCTTCTCCTTATAGTAAAGTATACACGCAAGACAGCTGAACGGTTTATCTGGTATTAATAAGCCTAACTGAAACTTCTTATATCTTAGAGGCATCAGCTGTGACTCGGCCTAAAGCCACAGCCGTCTTCGATCCGGATGGACGGCCTAATTGCTTGCAAATGAAATCCCCGGCAGAGAGGAGTTTCACCAGATCCACATTAGTTTTCACACCAAGCCCATGAAGCATGTAGACAACATCTTCAGTAGCAACATTGCCTGATGCTCCTTTAGCATATGGGCATCCCCCTAAACCCGCAATAGACGAGTCCAATATGCTAACCCCCATCTGTTGAAAATGCAAAAGACAGTTGTAGAGAAAGATCAGGTAGACGATGACGATGATGATTGAAAAAAAAAAAAGGACAGTTTCAAAAACAGTGTTGGATGCGAGTACAGAAAAGATCACATCCACGACAGATGGGGATTAGAATTTTAGTCCACTAGTCTAATGATTACTGACACATATTTAGTTGGTCAGATTAGACGTGTTTATCCCATCAAGATAAAACTGTACAATTGTCCTGTGTAAAGGGTACAGCAAGCAGTCCAATTGTACGCTTCCCTAAATACACTTATGCCATGTCAAGGTTCCAAGTACTCCAATGCTTACCTGGAGGGACACCAAAATATTTGGAAGAGACTGCCCATAAGTATCATGGAAGTGGACGGCAAGCTTCTCGACAGGAACAAGAGCCATCACAGCTTCAAGCATGGGAACAACAGTCCCTGTATCAAAGAGATGCGTGCAGATAAGAACAGACAAAAAAAAAAAAAAAAAAAAGCACAGGACCAAAACATGAGGGGCTTAACTCATCACTTTTGTATCATATTTACAAATATATTACAATAATAATCAGTAAGTACACTCGATGTGATTCGGAGGTGAATAGGAAATAAAAGAGCCTAACTATGATATAACGAAGTAAAACATTACCAGGTGTACCAACACCGATTGTATCGCCAAGAGATATTTCAAAGCAACCCATGTCATGAAGTTCTTTGGCCACATATGCGACTTTTGAAGGAGGAATTGATCCTTCCTGAGGACACCCAATAACACATGATACATACCTATCAAAAACAATTCATTTGTTCAGAAATGGATCAAGACTATAATATTCAATCTTCTGTTTTCCACGGAAGCATTAAAATGCAAGCACCTATAGAGACAATGATGCCAGTATGCCATAAAATATGCATTAGCACTTAGTGTACGTATATTCTGTGACATTACGCAACTAGCACAGTACCCTTTCAAAATTCAAGGAAGCAATTTCTTGTGGCCAGATTAGAGGATGATGACAATTTATGCGAGTTCGTTATCATGGAACTTCAAACTTTATTGATTAGAACATCAATCATGGTGATAATAAAACATCCAGCAAGAAACAAAAAAGTACACAGCCAACCAGCATCTTATTTCCAAACACTGGCTTAAATGAATATGGCAGCAGATAAACTAGAAACAGATCCCTGTAATTGGGATTGAGGGTGGTTAAGTTGAGAAAGGACAAAGGATAACCCTTGTACAAATATATATACACGGCTATTAAAACTCTTATCAAATTATTATGATTTCTTCATTTTCTATGATCAAATTTAAAGCACGACAATTAGTTGATACAAATGACACAATTGCGAAATTTTTTTAATGTACCTGTAAATCAGTAGTTTTTCCATCTACTCTTGATGCAGATAATACCAATTAACCTCCCAAAAAATCTCAAGGGGGCAGAGAATTCATGCAAAAGGATAGAGACATACCCACGAACAGGAATTGAGAACTCTTTAGCAGCACGAGTAACAGCACGATAGCGTGCAAGACTTTCTTCAATGCTACAATTGATGTTTGACTTTGAAAAGGACTCAGAAGCCGATGCAAAAACAGCAACTTCCTTAGCACCAGCTGCAACGGCTGCTTCAAATCCCTAGAAAAGTCACAGTAGATTAGAAGATTACTCCAGGACCAATATGACATTGTCAGAACTCTAGCAGATGTACAATAGATACCCACTTTTAAATTAGGTGTCAGAACAGGCAACCTGGAGCCCTCTAAACCATGAACCGCTTCCATTACATCCCTTGCATCTGCTAACTATAAGAGGGCAACAAATCAAGAGGAAAAGGAGGTCAATGAATAACAGGAAAGCAAGAAATTCAAGTTGCAGTTGAAAATAACCAGACTTGGGAAGAGAGAGAGGTAACAAAGTTACTATTTGTTTGTGAAAGTATAGATGTTTGCAGAACATTTGTCCCAAAACAGTCAAATGTTTATACATGATCATTACTATAGATATCCAAAATTTGTTGAATAAAATACCCTAATAAAACAACAACAGCATCGTTGTTCAGAACCATTAATGCAGCTTTTGACATCAAAACTAGAAGAAGCTGATTGAAGCCAGCAATTCACACCAGAATTTTCCTTATTATCCAATCTCCATGATTGCTTATATTCAGCTTATTTTTTAAGTAAACAAATAATTTATGCATATTACAGATTGATCAATAAACATTACATGAATCTGCTTCAATTTTAACTCTAAAACATTGACAAATTAAGATAAAATTGAAGTTACAATAAAAACCTAATCAAATTACCTGAGGTACCCATTTGGGTGAAACAAAACTCGTGGCCTCAACAACTGGCAACCCAGAAGACACCAGTCTATGAATCAGTTCAACCTTTACATCTGTAGGCACAATATTTTTCTCATTTTGCAGTCCATCCCTTGGACCAACTTCCACAATCTTCACAAATCTTGGTATACCTTTCAAGAACTGCTTTTCAAGATTAAAAAAAAAAAAATCATGATTCAGGAACAGCCAAATTGAACAAATTGTAGCCTAGTTCTGAATTGTAGGAAATTGAAATGGTGGACCATCAAACAAATGCAACAGCTAACAAACACATGGACTTTATGTATTTAACCAACAATAATGAATACAATCATCTAATGTCAAGAGATACAACAAAATTATAGTTTTGTTCAGTTATGGAATCACCTTATTTGTAATACCCTGTATGTCTTTGTCATTGGATTTGGAACTATGTTGATGATCTGGAGAATACCATGAATCACAAATACTTCCAGACTTCATGTGGTTGCTGCCTAAGCTCATAGCCCTTCGATTTCCTTGGCGAATGTCTCTTGTATGTCTTTTCCAAGGAAACGTCTCTCTTGTATACTCATAATCTTCCCTGCATACAAATTTAACTTTTTAATAAAATTGTGTGAAAAAAAACTTGCTACAAGGGTAGGTTGATAGAGCAGAAAATTCAGTTTCTCTGTTTTCAGTGCCACCCAATGGAGGAAATGTAGTTTTCATTTTTTGACATCATTATTATGATGAAGTTTCACCCTTGTCTTTACTGCACTAAATGGAGGGAAAACTGAGCATCTACAAGGGGCTATCAAAGAGGCCTTATATCTTGAGAAAATGCCGAGTCTAGGGACAGGAAAAATTGGTATTGCAGCTACCTCTTCTTTCTTCCCTATAGTAAACCCCCGCACTGTGTAATTATCAAAGAGCTAATCATTCTTCCACATCCATAGGATCAAGTGCTAATACAAAGATAAGTTAGTCATGCATTAGTACTTACTCACTACTGTTGGATGAGCTGCAACTCCTTCCCTCAATCCAGCAATGTCCCATTCCCATATCATCAGACCTGGGTCGGCAAGCACCAGAAGAGAACCTTTGAATTCGGTCAATAGTATTCATGCTAGGCAGCTTGTCAAAACCAAGCGGCTCTTCCAAACTCGACATTGCTGAAATAAATGTAAAGGAGGAGCTGCAATTCAGGCACAGAACAGTTCAGTACTCTCCAATAAACCTTATTAACTGGATAGTTAAATTTTGGAATATTAACATTAAAATCCAACACAGGTATATAACAAAAGGCTGTATATTGTTAATGCAATAACAAATTCCAAATAGTCAATTAAATTGTTCATGCATCCAATGTGAATTATTCACAACTGCCTCAGTAAAATGCACCAGAAAAAATTCAAATTCTTTGCAAGCAATATAAATAAAACTGGTTCAAAAGATTAAGCTAAGCATTCAAAATTTAAGTAAACATCGTCTTAATTAAAAGCAAACTATACTTTATAAACCAATATAATTCAATCAATCAAAAACTTGAAAACAAATTGAACATCAACTTTTCCATAAAAATCCAAACTTTCTCAGCAAGAAATCACAAACGCTGTTTATTTTCTTTAAAAAATTAGATACCGTTAAAAAATCACGTTTGCTTCTGTTTTAGCTTCTTCATTGAGAAAAAAAAACCGAACTTCAGTCAAAATGACCAAACAACACAGAATGGAATTCCTATCAAAGCTTCAATTTTTTGTTTTGTTTCCAATTCCTTTCCTCTAGTTTCTTGCAAACCAAACAGAGCATATACAGAACCTAACAAGAAAGTAAAGAAAGAGAAGGAAACAAACAGACCTGACTTACAGAGACAAATCGGAAAAGAAGAAAACCTAGGGTTTCTAAGAAGAGAAAGAAACCCTAGAATTTGGGAATCAGAAGTAATTGTAAGAAGTGTTTTTTTTTTCTTTTTATGTCCAGTAATGCAGGAACGTTAGATAGCAGAGAAAAAGGTAACGCAACAACGTGAAGGAGTTGTTCACAACTTCTGGTTCTCTTTCTTTGTTAACTTGTTTGGTGGGAAAAAAAGAAACGGATTTTCTTTAATTAATTAATTAAATTGATTTTCCTTTTCCTTTTTCTTTTTCTTTTCTTATGGGCTCAGACGTATATGAAAAAAAGAAAAAAATAATAATAATAAGACAATAAGAGAAGGGTGGTGGTAGGTAGTTTTCTGTTGGGGGTTAGGTCTTTTTCTAACACTAGTTTTCTCGTTTTGTTTTTTATTCTAATTGTTGCTTGGAATGGTGGAGGAGTTCCCTCCAAGCAAATTTTTTTTTTTCAAATAACTAGCTGAATAATTATTTATAGTTTTCTTTACCAATAAAAAAATAATGAGTATACCTAATATTATTACGAATGTTACGACCTAAAACAATAGGGTAGGTGACATTGATGTACTTATTTAATGATTTGGTTTTGATAGATCTTAGATTACTTACCCCTACTCTCAAAGCTAATGTTAGATAATAAAATGATTAAATATTTTATGAAAAAAAATTGTTATTTTATATTAAATACGTGGTTAATTTATATGTATATCTATTAAATACGGATTAATGTTTGAGTTATAAAAACAAGGTGATCATAAATTGATTGCCAAATGGCAAAGCTTTGTAGGCCAGTCAATTAAGAAAACTCAAAAGGATCATTTATTATAATTATTGAGCAGGCCGCGAGAGCAATATTCGAGGACCGCAGCTTTCTCCGTCAGCTGGCAGCCAACCATAATTAATTTTGGCATTTTCCTTTTCACCGTCCAGCATTAATAAAAATTCAGTGTGAACGAAGAGATGATGACTAGATTTTCACAGCCGTTACTCGAGTTTCTAGAAGTTGTGATTTGTTTTATTTTCTTATCATTTGCCTCAAATCTTGTTGTCCACCGGATGGCAATTGGTACGTGAGAAGAGGTTTTTTTTTAAAAAAAATAATAAATAAGCTGCATGTTTTATTTGAGCAAGAGCGCTGAATTTGAAAAATTTTATAATATTTAAAGAATAACTAAGTAACATATACGATAGTTACTTTATATATTCACTTTATAAAGAAAGATAAAATACATAAAAAAAAGATAGAAAAATAGAAGAGAGAAAATTAAAAAAATTGAGCTAATGTGAAAATCTTTTTAGTGTTTTTGATGAATCCAAATGTATTTATCTCCTTTTATAGAACGAGTCTATAGAAGTAACTATCGTATATATCATTATTTACTCCTCGAATATTATAAAATTTCTCGTTGAATTCGGGAGTAAATGATAAATCATTTCTTTTAGTTTTGAAAAATAATTAATTAAAATTTTTATTTTAAAAATTAATTATTTAGCTTATTGATTAGTATTGATTGTGTTTAATTTAATGTTATTTTATTTATAAAAAAATCATTAGTCTTTCCATAATATTTATTTATTTTGAAAATAAAAAAATACAAAAAAAATTAGAAAAAATATAAAACAGATCAAAAATTAAATAATTTACTGTTAAAACATAGGAGATTAATTAATTAGCTTTTCAAAATCAAAGTAACTACCTTGTAATTTACTTGAATTTACTGATAAATAGGGAGTATAATTAAGAAGAATAAACATACAAGAAAAACCTCGGCTCATCGCTCAGAAAATGCCACGTTTTTATTTTTACATTAAATGTAGGGCATGAATTAAATGTGGTCGTTGAAGAATTGATAGGGATAGGATTGTACGGCAAATGGCAAAATTGCTACTATGTTATCAAAGTGAAGAAAAGTACCCATCAATTGTTTGTTGAAATCATTCTATGTTGAAAACGTTAGGGTTAACTACCAATCCCAACCTTAAAATCGAAGGGATGATGTTATGCAAAAATACTACCGCAATCAACCAAACTGTAAGCAAAGTGCCGATCCAGTTCATTATATGTGCTTTCTATAACAAGGCTTTTGAAAATACCACCCATTCAAAATCAACATCTAATAACAGACATTATTTTAATAAATATAAATTTTTTGATCTTGTCCAATGATATGTTCTTTTTTATCATGTAACTAGTCACGGTAAAAATTATTTCAATATTATCAAATTAAATCTTATTTCAATAAAGATAACAGGTCGTTATTGATTAAACTAATAAATTTATGATTTAATTAATATATCATTTATATAATATACGATGTGTTATGATATTAATACATAAAAAATCTAATCTCCTGATAGTAATACACACTCTTACGTAAATAAGAAATTACAGGTTTGACTTAAAACATCATAACATATTTTTTTAATTATTTATTTCATGATATATCTTTTGAATTTACATTGAGTGACATATTTTCTTAAGAAATGATTTATCATTTATACTAAATAGGTTTAACTAATTAAATTATCAGTTCAATCTAGGTCATTTTGAATTTGACCATATGAATTGCTTAACTAATCCAATTCGAGAACTGAACCGACTTAGTAGTGAGTTCATCTATCAAATTAGCTTGTACTATTTAGTTCTAATAATACTACTTTACTCAAGTAACTCTAAAAAAAAACACACTGCCTTAAGTATTGTTATTTTCTTTTTAGTAGCAGGACCATATTGTACTAAAAAGTTTCAAAATCTTTTTCTTTATTTCTTGGGAGAAGAAAATCTCGATATTTTTGGAAAAGGGAAATTTAGTATGACGTAACGCACGTTATTACAAAATTGTAAGTGATAATTACGAGAGTGAGAAGAGTATTGAATATTTTTTATATCTAGATTTTAGAAATTAAATACTGAAATTTGTATATTAAATACTGAAAATTTATTTATTTTTATGTAATTACCTACTTGTATCTCATAATTGAAAATAATGCATGATAATGTAACGTGACAATCTGGAAAAACACAAGTTTCCAAATTTAAAAGAGAACAAATTAGCAGAAAACAACCAGTTAGCCCAATTGTTTTTTTTCGTACGAGCCCAACAAATTTTTGGGTACTCAAGCCCAACAAAACTAGCAAAATCCAGGAGAAAAAACCGAACAGCAGAGAGCAATAAAAAACCATCGTCATTTTCCATCAAAAAACGGAAAAATGAATAGAGGAGAAAAGGAAGAAGAAGAAGAGATAGTTTGCCTAGACGAGTCTTTCTTTATCAGTGACAAGTAAACAACTGTCTCTCTCTCTTTAGCTCTCTCTAAAGTTTGTTCTGTCTCTTATGTCATGTGTAATTTATTTTCTGTGCAGTTACCAGTTAACCACTTTCACATTCGGTTCTCAAGTTATTGAGCTCCTTTGTCTTCACTCTGCTTCAAGTGAGTTCCTTCTTCAATAAAATTGATGCAAAATCATCAGATAAAAAAAAAAAACCATATCTCCTTTTCATTTTTTCTGTTTCCTAGTTAGTTCTTTTCTTGCTTAAAATGTTTGTATGCTTGTCTGTGACTGAAAGATTTGAATTTAGTTAATAAGTGTATTAAAAAGACTTCATTTTTAATGTTCAATAAGTCCATGTAACTGGATATCAAATCGGCCTGATGATATCTTGTTGCTATTTGTAAGTTGTTATTGATTTCTTACGCTATACACTTAAACCAAATCATCCATCTTGAAAGAAGCAGATTCCTAGCAAGGACTTGCTAGTACCTGTTTGCTGTTTTGATCAGTCTGTTAAAGGCTAGTTAGTACTTTTAAACGGAGCCAAGTTGGAAAGGAAAAGGAGCAGAAAGAAAAGCTCTTGCAGATCCCATGTCATTGATGGTTTCACAGCTTTAATCTTCTCTTCTCCAATCAAATGCTCGGGTGTTTCTCTCTGGATGCGTTGTGCTTCTTGCAGTTGAAGCAAAAAAGACCGAACTTTTCACTTTTGCGTGTTTTGGCAGACCCATTATTACAGCTCAGAAGGATAGGTGATGGTTTTAATTGGGTTTCGAGGAAGCATTTTATTTGCGCTGTTATTTAAATTTCCTCGAGATTGTTGGCGATGGTAATTGTGTAAAAAATGATTTAGAGCTTTTGGCAGTACATGAAATCAAAAAAAGAAAGTTTCCCTGATTTTTGCAAGGCTTATTCTCATCTTCAGATGAAAAATTGGGTTGTTGCTTCTTTTGATAAAGCTTTCTCTTTCTTTTGAGCTAAGGCTCAGCTGACACTAGATAGGAAAGGTTTTCTCTAGAACCTCTTCAGAAATCAGTTTAGAATTCGCTTTCCAAGCCCTACTTTTGTCTTTGAATTTTCTCTGTTCTCCTGATCAGATCTAATACAGCAAGTATTCCATATGCCACGTAGTTGTGGCATGGCGACACACCAACTTGTTTTGATTGTGCACATATATATGCTTAGACACTGATGAATTCAATATATGTTCATTTTTATTTCTGCTAAGGTTTTTGTTCAAAATTCAAATGAGAAGTTCCTAAAATTTTACACTAACTATTTGCGAGGCAGCTGATTTTGATTTGACCGGGCAACTGGTATGGCCTGGTGCCATGCTTTTGAATGATTATCTTACAAAACATGCCGAGATGCTACATGGATGCTCTATTCTTGAGCTGGGTTCAGGTGTAGGTGAGCGATAGTCTAAGCTATATTTTTTTTCTTTTCATTTCTTTTTTCAAATTCCTATTTCTGCTTCATAATTTACTGAGTTTGGGAAACCAAATAATTGCAAACAAGGTCAAGCTGTGTTCTTTTTTTTAAAACCAAAATATTGCTAACAAGATGGAAGCTATGTCCCTTCTTATTGATTTTTAAGACATTTCAAATTGACAGTGGCTTTTTAATCAATTGATAGATTGACCATACTGCAGTTTTCTTTTGTAGAGCAGTAAATCTACTTCTAGTATTCAAAGAACTGTTCCTTTATTGTCGCGTGACGTATAAAATCTGTTTTAGAAAACTCCCCTTTGTTTCTCTAACTTTTTGTAGTTCTCCATAATTTCTATTTTTCCCTGCATTCAACAATTTAGTTTTGAAAATCCCATTGCAGTTTCTAACTGTGATGTGATTGACTTCTTGTGAAATGTAGGGGTCACTGGAATACTCTGCAGCAGATTTTGCCGTCAACTTGTGTTAACTGACCACAATGATGAAGTGATTAAGGCAAGGTTGCAGGATTAATTTAGAATCTTAAAGTATACGAAGTTTCTTTATCTAATGTTGTATTGTGATGATTTATGTTGTTTATTCATTTTCAGATCCAGAAGAAAAATATCGAGCTCTGTGCATCTTCCATGAATCCTAATTGTTGTGCTGGTAAAGGGGAAAAAACACAAAATGTGGGCAGGATGTTCATTTTCAGACACTGACATCTTTCTTCTACATGCAGAGCTAGCGACTGAGAAGTTAGAGTGGGGCAATTCTGATCATATTGATCAAATTTTACAAAGATATTCAAGGGGATTTGATCTGATTCTTGGAGCTGACATCTATATCCTTGTTGCTTTTCTCCCTTTATTTTCTAGAAAATAGCAATATGTTTAAAAAAATTATCCTGTTCGACGTTTGAAGATTTAAGAAGGCATAGATAGGCATCATTATGCCTGCAGTCAAACATCCAACTTGCATGTTAACATGGTGCTATCTCACTCTATCTGGTATCGCTATGTGGTGAATTCTCTTTCTTATTACCTGTTATTGACACTTAATTTGGCATGGAGAATGTGACAAGCACTGAATTTATTAGTAGTTACTGTTTTGGTGTATCTTCACATTTGTAGTATGAATATTATGGATGGCTCCTCAATGAGACCCAGAGTATTGAACGAGACAAATAATAGTAATCACCAATATAGCCAGTTCAATAGTTTTTTTTTTTTTCCCTTCTTCCATACAATCTGCTATGAGTTAAATAATTCGAAAGGAAATCCCTTGACAACATGTAAGCTTTCAGCAGTCAAGTGTTCCTTTGCTTTTTGATACAGTGGAAAAGCTACTTCGCTTTCGAGGAGGACAATGCAAATTCATCCTGGCTTATGTATCCCGAGCTAAGACGTAGGTATCAATTTGTGGACTGTGCCGTATTTTCTGGTTGCTTCCTCTATGAAAAGTGCTTTCTATTTTTATTTTTGGATTGTGTTGTCAAGAAAATACAAATAACTTGGAAGAATTTCATGCAAAGAAAGAGCAAACCAATGTCTCCTATATTCTCTTTTGGGTAACTACATATGCTCAACAAGAGCCATATTTTTATTTTGAAATTACCTTCTACCTTCTTTCATGTAGTTTCTTATATTAACTGTCTGTCTAAGTTCTGGCTGCTAACTTGCTTAATGTAGCATTTACCTTTCCCTAGTTTGTTCAATAGTTATTGAATAATCATTACTTGCTAAGGCTTTTCTTTGTAATGCATATTGTTATCATCTTTATGCGGCCTTTCTTCTTTCTGTGCAGCATGGATTCGTTGATTACAAAACAAGCTGCCCAGCATGGAATGAGGATGGTTGAGGTTACTGGGACACGTTCTGTGGTTGGAAATCTTGAAGGAGTCATTTTTGAGGTTGCTTTACAATAAAGTCATCAAACATGTTCAGTTGCAAACTTGAATACTGAGGGACAATGCAAGGCTCGTATCACTTGGAGAATCGTAGGAATAGGAATCGTAAACTGAAAACCACTTGGGCAAAAGCTAGGCGTGCATTTTGATCTGTAATACACCATCTTCAGAATCAGGATTCGTCCTGGATACTTTGTTTTTGAAAGCTCGTATTGAAATCAAACTAATGTTAGACAATGATGGGGAGCATGTAATTTGAATTGCTGTGTATCGAGGCTATTGATGGTGCAATATTCCTTTGTCCCTGTTGATCATTTTGAAACTTGGCTTCCATGATGACATTGAAGAAAAGCTTTCCTGCATGGATCATCTGCGACTCAGCTCTAAATTGCTACACAAAGTATGAGGTCCAAAAACCATGCCCTTCATTCGTGCACGTGGCTCCTCAATGTGATGTTTTATGTCTTCTATCTTGATTAAAACACCAATTATAAACTCTTAATAATCATGCTTAGATCCTGCGTCATAACTTAAAATAAAACACTTTGCCAAATTCAATGTTTTCAGATATTTCTAACTTTTGCGGCATGTGTAAGGGACTGAAAATTGTGATTTTAAATAAGCAAAATCGAGTGAGTTTATACCATGCGGAACTCATTGGCAAACAAACCCAATCCAATTTCACCATCTCTTGCCATAGAATGCTTTGACAAACAAAATTAGCGTAATTCCATCAGAGACCAGGAACGAAACAGAGTTATGTATTTGTGATATGGTTTCATTTCACAATTGATAATTATCATATAATTTTGCCATCTAATTCTACAAATGAACACAGAAAAAATGCAATGAATTGCCACAGTGATCGCTCATAGAGAAGAATAACATTTCTTTCATTTGGATTTTCTATTTCTATTGAACAATTTCCATTATGCTAAACCATAGGATGTAGGACTCCATAAAAGTTCGGTCATTCCAGGCTTGATCACTTTTTTTATCTATATAATTTTTTTTCCAACTCACACCCTACTGTCTCCTAGCATACTAGTTCTTTGGGTATTTGAACCCGTGACCTCTTGTTGCAAGAAACCACTAGCACCTGGACTACAAGCTCTCTGGTTCATTCCAATCTTGAAGAACTGTTTTTATCAGATGTCTTAAAAAGTCTTCAAGAATTCTATCTCCTCTCTTTCTTCTGACTCAATGGATTAAAGAATCTAACAGGTGAACTTCTTTAATCTGCTTCAACCGTCAGTTTTCACATCATGCAACTTGTTTTAACATTCTCTTCCAGATGGTTATTATGCAGCAGGGAGCAAAGCTGCACCTGCTGATGGAAGTGAGCTGCCACACAATTTGCCACTTTTATGGCAATTTCTCTAATCTAAGACAGAAGATGAGGAGTTCAACTTCATGCCTTTTCCGTATGCAGCAATAAGTAAAGCCTCAGCTCTTCCTGCAAATATGAGATGAAGCGAAATTAGTCCTAATTAAGCAAAGGAGATCTGACGCAAGTTGGAAAAAAAAAAAATTTCTCTGAACTGGTAGTGATAATCTGATAGTAGAAACTGCATGCATCTATGCACAGGGTGTGCTTTTGAGATATAAAAGGAAGCTTCTTTAACAAAGTGCGATATTGTCATTTCGACATAACAGGCAAATTAAAGAGCATCGCAAGCTTGTTGGTGGAATCAATGAAATAGTGACATATTATCAGGGGACATCTACCGTGATCCTTTTTCCTTTCTAGCAAGGGACTCAAAGATGGAAATAATGTCGACGCGATTCTTCGGCTATCATCCTGTCAAAATCGAGCACTCACATTAAAGGAACTATTGGACTTGACATACAAGATGAGAGTTGATAAGAACAAGCAAGAAAAAGCACATCCTCCATATAGTGGCTTAGGCCTAAAAGTATATTAGCCTTGCATTTCTTTTTCCTTAAAAAGACAACTCCATACACAGGTATGTTCAGTAGTTTACTCACAAGAAATTTCTTGGAAGATCACGGAAAAAGAATTCCTAAGTGAAATTTTGAAACCAGCTTAGATAAGTGAGAAACAAAATTGCTACTGCATGAATTAAGAAAAACACAAACCTTAGTACAATTGCCTCCAGTGAGTTCAAATTCATTCTTCCATGTCATAGATGGTACTGGAACTACAGAGAACCCTGAGGCAACTAACACCCCAATCCATAATCCATAACCAAATCCTCCACTCCACCATCCCTTCATATAAGAATAAGAAAATATTTCAGTATTGGATCCTTTTTTATAGCTTCTCTGTTTCTTTTCAGGGTAATGTCAAAACAGGTAAACATTGTTAATGATGTTATCTCAACGATGCAATTACATTAATAAAGTTTTGCAAGAGGAAAGAAAGAAAGAAATGTCATTTAATAAAGAATCCTAAGCTCCAAACAAATCTAAGGAGCCATACTAACCTGCTTTCCATCTTGTGGGAACGGGGTTGATTGTTCTATGTATGCAGTAGTGCCTGAAATAAGAGAAGCATGATTTATCCAACATTCTCAATGATGGGGAAAAAAAAAAACAGTAGAAAAAAGCAACCAAGACACATAATTATCAGAACCGAATATAAATAACACTAAATTTGGGTATAATGGAAAAAAGAACTTCATAAGAAAGACAGGTTATACTCCCACCAAAGCAAAGCATAATAGGATATTAAATGCAAAAACTACAATACAGGATGGATCTGGATCTGTAGTTTTAGTTTATGTAGATCATAAATTGAAATTGGAATTTTATGTGTAAATAATTCATGCCAGTTATTTATATTAATTAATGGTTTCAATTCATAATTTCAGAATCATGGCAACCATCCTCATTAGGTTTCTAAGGAGACACCGCCTTTGGTAATTTCACATTCGCCCATTGTCCCAGAACTTGATTTTTCATATCACAACTTGCACATAACTCAACTTGGATTTCTCAGATCATGATCTGTAAGGCCCTTTCCCTAAATTGAGCATCGAGGTTTCTGTATAACAATCAAGAGAAAGGAATGGCAGCCCACCTAGCCAAGGTCATTAAAATAAATAAAATAATTTAACAGCGGAAAAAAAGAGATCTGAAACATTGACAGAACTATAAAAGCTCAACTTAAGTCGACTAAGACTCAATCTCAAACATATTGGAAGCGGGACCATATAACTCAACTCAACTAGAACTCAATAATCTCAAGATGACGAAAACATTATGCAGCATTGCCTCATTGCACAAAAATTTAACAAATTTTTGCAAAACATTAAAAAAAAAAAAAAGGTCACATACCAATTGGAGCATCGAAACTACGAATCAACTGAACGATAGACTTAACATCTAATCGCTTCCGGGTTCCTTTTCCAACCATTACTTTCAAGTAAGGAGAATCAAACACCTACCAAACAAACCATCAATCAACAAAAGACATTATTAATATCCTAAGCAAGAAACTTTAAGACATATCTTCACCAAATTTCTTCAAAGCAGCAATCTTTAACTCAAAAACCAAAAAGGGTCACTAAAAAAGGGAATTACCTGAGCAGAGCAACCAGACTCGTCAATTTTCAGAAGCGCCAAAGCACCAGAAAGATCAGGGTCAATACCGATAACGCAATTGGAACCCACATTATTCCGGGCCAAATCATCTCCACCCAAATTTGCAGTCTCAGTTTCATCAGGTAAAGGAAAGGTGAGAGACTTTAACCAGTTTTGTTTAAGTTGGGCATCATCAGCTACTTTTGCCCCAACCTTTACCCTGCTTTTTGAAAGTTTGGTCTTTTTCAAAGGAAGAGGGGTTTGAGAGTTTGTAGTGCAGAAGGGCTTCAGGGTGGATAAAAAGAGGTTTAAGGGGAGTTTGGGTTTGATGATGTGTATTGAAAAGAGTGACTTCATGGATTTGAATTTTGGAGATTGGTGGGTTAGTGGTCTGATTTGGAGGGTTTCCATGCAATTGAATGGTTTGTTCAAATCTGTGGCGTAAATGAAAGAGGTTGGCAAGTTTGAATCTTAGTGGTTCATGTTGTATCGGCACTCTTTGAGGTTCCAGATCTGTACAATTAAGGGTCTGTTTGGCTTAAAAGTTATAGTATGACTAGCTGCAGCTATAGCTCGATGAAATGTTTTTGTTAAAAGGACGGTTGTCACAAAGTTATGAATAATATGGGGAAAAAAATGTTAGAAAATATGGAGAATCAATTTAGAATTACGAATACTCCATATTTAATCTCAAGTGTTTTTATTTATATTGTTGTATTTCATTACTTTTCTATCTAAACTGTTTTTATTTATGTCAAAATATTATTTATGTTGTTATTGTATTTTGTTATTTTTCTGTTTAAACAGAAAAATATAAGTTATCCAATCAAAATTGTATTTTCTCCTCTAATAATTGACAACTAAAATCAAAATAAAGAAATAAACAACAAAGAAAGAGATCAACTCAAGTAAATACATCAGAAAGAGAAAAAGAGAAAGAGAATTAATTGCTTTGAAATAAGAGATGTCTAAACCATTTGTTTTAATTGAGCAAAGTCCGTAAGTCAATACACCTATTTAAGTGCCCCTAATCAAAAAATAGATCAATCATCTGTCATCTACAAGTAATCATTAGAGATGAAATGTTTCTTGGCAAAGGAATAAAAAAAAATTATTTTGTTACTTGCCACAATAGCTACTAAATATCTAGTTTCAAGTATCTTTACTTATATCAACATATTATTTATATTATTAGATGATGACTGAGGATGTTGATTAGTCGAGGGATGTTGTTCAGAATTATGGAATTAAAAGAGGATATGCAATTACGATCACTCGTAGGAACAACATTAGGCTGAATGCTATATGCAATGATGATGAGTGGGACTAGTGGTTGTATGCCTCTCGAAGGAAAATAAGGAGAAGATACCTCAAGTTAAATGCATGAACACAATTGCTCTAAGGTTTTTGATAGCAAATTAGTATCATCAAAGTGGGCTGTAAGAAAGTATCTTGGAAGGTTCAAAATTGATCCAAGGAGCCATGCTAAGAAATATGCAAAAAATATACAAGAAGATTTCAGTATTTTAGTTACCAAGGCTATGTGATAGGGCAAGGAAGATAGCAGACAATGAGATAGTTCGAACTATTACAGAACAATATAGAAAACATTGAGAATACCATAATGTGTTGAAAATAAGTGATCTAGAGACTGTTGTTAACATGGATTTCGTTAGAACAATAGTAACTATACATATGTATTTTATTGGAATCATGTTCATCTTATTATGAATTATCCAAACTAGCTTCTTCGTTGAAATCTAAAAACTTTTAGTTAGTTTGATTTCATTGTTTTTGAATGAATTTAGATCCTCTCATGTTGTTTTAGAAATATGACAGGTCATATTTTAAATTTAACAATTGATTTTAAATATAATAATTTGAATTACGTAAGAAAAATAAAATAATAGTATCTAAAAAAATTCATTTAAGTGAAAGAAGCTTTAATCGTTTAAGAAATTTCTAGATAGTTTTATTCATTTTGTGTATCCGATAAAACGAGTGAAGAATTAATTGAGATTTTTTTAGTTTAAAATATCTTGAAGGATAAAAATAAATAAAACAATATAAATTTAAAGAATTTAAGATGTTACTATTTTTATTATGCCCCTTCAAATTACCATCGTCAAATCCCTCATAATAGCTGGCTTTTTTTTCCTGCAAAGCAAGGGCTAGAAGCATAGAACCCATTGAGATCATTCAAAATGACATGTTCTGGTGCATGGCCTGTCCTGCAGATGTTGGATTCGGGATAGTGGCCAAAGTCCCAACCGTTTGGGTTTTAAAAATTTCAGTTTGGTATTTAAATAACTAAATCTGTAAAAAAAACCTGAATTCGAACTGAGTTGTTATTCAATTTTTTAAATCAAAATTTCGGTTTTTAGGTAAAGTTTAAACCGATTTTTTTCAATTTTTTCTAATTATTTTTAAATAATTTCTAAAATAATGTAAATAGGGTAAAAAATAATTATTTATGAACTAAAAAAGCCACTGCTTTAGTCTAAATTGTCTAGATTAGCCTATATAAAATATGATAAATATTTATGTAAATAATATTAAAACACAAAACCATACTCCATAATAAATATCAAAATTTAAAGATAAATTTATTAATTCATATCTAAAATATATAGCAATAAAAAAATATTGATTGTTCAAATATATTGTAAACCAAAATGTCAAAGTTCAGATAACGACCAAAAGTTTAAAATAAAAAAAAATAGTTTTTGGTGAAAAAAAAACTAAAATTATTTCAATTTGTTTTTTTAATTAATTTAGAAACCAAAACAAAATATCATTTTTGATTCAGGTCAGTTTTTCGATTTCAATAGAATACCCTCACCCTTACAAATACCGATACTCAATTCTATGTAAAAAAGAAAAAGAAGTGCTAGAATTTGAGTTTAATTCTTATTTTCAGCTAGTAATATGTCTTCTTCTTCTTTTAATTTTTAAAAAGCATTTTTACGCCTTTATTTCATCAAAATCATGCGATAATATCTGCTTCAAATTTTGGAAGAGCGCTTTGCTTCTCCCCTGGAAAAAGGATGGTGAAACGGGTTTGATTGTTGAAACTAGAACACTCATGTACTAATACACCTTTTCCCCCTCAGATTTTTTGTGTTAACCCATCCAATCAATTATGAATTTGTTCCTCTATTGTTCGTATCTGAGAGAAAAATGCATTCTGATTTCTAGAACCACATGTGACTTTTGACCCATGGCAGTATTAATCGCGACTGATGACTATCTTCTTGTTACTCTGGTTGCTAGAAGATTTTGTCACGAGCCTGTTGTTGACCAATTAATATATCCATTTGGGATCGAAATCTTCATTATCTTTCAACAGTCCAGCCACATTTTAGTCCGTGATTCGATTATAAAGAGACTTGGGAATTTTCGGCAAATCAAGCATGGGACTTGAATGAAAGAATCTGCACTTTAAATTACAAGACCAGGCATATTGATGGATAGGGACAGGCATTCAGACAAGTCACGAAGACGCACATTTTGTTACGTAATACTAGAAAAACGTTGAGACTAGGTACAATCTAGTAGTTGACCAAGGACATGTAGTTCAAAAAATTTCGTAATGATGCCCTTCTCATTCTATAAACAATATTAATCCAATCCAACACCGTACTCATGGATGTGGTAAAAGTTGACTGGACCAACTTTCTGCTGTAGATAGGAAGAGACAGTCCCCGAGAAATTCTCTTATATGTCTAAAATCCTTGAAGGATAATTTGGAAGCTAGAGGAGACCCAACCCTTCATATACATACGCAACAGTTTCAGGAGCAAACCTCTCTGCACTCTTATCTCATTTTCAAGCAACCCTTGTTTTTGTTAAAAAGGAATTATTTTTTTGGCATATCCAAGGCAAGGCCTCTATACCATACACAAACCATGGCACTTGCACTTGAAATCTCAAAAGATTGTTTCTTTATGAGTGCACCCACAAGTCCAAGTGGATTCAACCTAGAGAGTAATATGTTTTTCTATAGTGCATCTACTAGTCCTGCCAAAGGGACGTCCAATGCTACATATGATCGTGAATCCGAGCCCGCCAATCCAAAAACATATGAAGTTGCAAATTCCATTCTGGATGACTTTGAATTCGAAACTAGCCGGCGTTTCAACCTCGATGATATTAACTTGGGAGACAGCATGAGATTTGAAGATGCAATGGAAGAGCAACAGATGCACCAAAGGCAACATAAGGAATCACTTCCTGCCATGGCATTTGCCGATGAGTTATTTTGTGATGGTAAGGTCATGCCACTAAAGCCTCCGCCGTGTCACCGATACGCTACCGATGGTAAATTTGGTAATCACAGCTCAACTCCGACATCCCCTGAGTCCCAAATGTCGAAAATTAAAATCCCATTTCCACGACGGAATGTGTGGAACGATGATTTTGATCCTTTCATGGTAGCTTTGAATACTGTCAAGGGAGAAAAGATGGGAAAATGGCATAAAAACAACCATAGACGGGCTCGGTCCATGTCGCCTATACGAGCCAGCAGTGACTTGATGGGCTGCATGCATCACCAGTGCAAACAATTGGATCCTATCATGCCAACTCCGTATAATCAACTGGAGCTCAATGGGCTGCCTCCTCGAATATGGATTCCAAATTTAACAAAAGCTAGTCCAAAAGGCCCAAACACGCTACCTCAGCCGAAAGGAGTTTTGTTTGCAAGAAAAGCTAGACTGGTGAAAATAGACCCCGAGTGGCCAAGAAAGCCCAATAAGATACCTCTTCAAGAGCCCATGGTAAAGGCTGGAGAGAATCATAAAGAAAGCGGAGAGGCTTGTGAGAGAGAAAGCAAGAGGCAGAGAAAGAAAAACTTTCTTCACAGGAGTTTATTCATGAGGAGAAGTGATGAACATAATCACAAGCAAGCAGAACAAATTTTGGAAGTTTCAAAGCCGAAAATTAAGAGGAAATTAAGCTTTAAGTCCATGGGTTTAGTCCCACGCCATGAAGAGAAAGGGATGTCTCAAGTAACCAAGGCAACACTAACACATTATAAGCCAAAGCTGTCTTTGTGCATGGGTTATGGAGCAAAATATGTTGAGTGAATTAATAATTCATACAGTTTGTTGTAGATACTATTCAGAAGGTCATCCCAGTGTGATCATGGGATCTGATCTTCTTATGGTTTATTATGTTGAGACTTGTATTGCTTTATTGGCTTCTTTAATGGAACATTGTTTGCAGACATTTTTTACTTTGTTTTTTTTCTCTTCTTTTTTCCCTTTCAAGAGCCATATTTGAATTATTTCTTGCTCGTGATTACACATAAACTCCGTTTCCCTTTCTCTAGTTATGTGATATTACACCATGGTCCATCATTGCCAAGAGCAATGAAACCAGAAGATAATTCCAAAAAAGATCTGTAAGATCAAAGTTAGTACTCTTAAGTCTTGCGGATTCAAACTCTAATACTTAGTTTATGAGAGCTTTGATTTAAGTTTTTATACACCACTGCGTAAATGTTTACATAAATCTGTGGGATCACATGAAATTGCCACACAAACCTACTCGAAAAAAGCACAACGGAGAGAAGAGGAAAACAGGATTAATAATGGCCACCGCATTCATGGAACTAAATTATAAGTCCTAGTTTCTGCTCTTCTATTCTGCTTTTAGCAGGGAAGAGATTCAATGGAAGAATCATTAAGAGATTCAATGGAAGAATCATTCTTTTGGATGAAATGTAGGCTTCTATGTTTAAGCCTAATGAGTCTGTCGTGAAACTTTTGTGTTGTAAATGTAGGCTTATATGCTTAAACCTCATGAGTCTGTAGTGAAACTTTCATGTTATAAAAAATGCCTATTCCAACACTTCCGTCGGCCAAAGCCTCTTCCACCTGGCAATATCTTCATTGTTATATAGCTTTCTGATCCCTCCGTAAAAGCCATCTGCCTCATTCCCCTCCTCCCGATGCTCCTTCCTATTGACTGTTGTGCTTCTCCACCGTGAGCCAGGAGTATACTGGTGGAACTCCAACACTACAGTGTCTGTTTGCAGAAATTTAGTGTTAACTAGAAACTAAAAGGATTATAAGTAAGCCAAGATTCAACTAGTATGCAAGAGCTTTTTGCCTCAGTTGCCTATAAGACTTCATCAAGAAGCATCAAATTGATCGTTTGTGAACGTGTGTGGAGTGTTGTTTTTCTCCCAGTGATTGGGGACACAGAATTCCAAATTTTGGAGTCAAAATCATAATTTGTGCAATTAAGAAAAAGGAATGCACCACAAAAAGGGGTTATAAGATGAATTGTCTTCATTTCTCAAATCTGAAAAATGAGCCCCCTGATTACTAGATTTCTTCCGATAGCTAAGTAACCAAAATCGACTTTCATTAGAATGCATGACCTATACAAATTCAAGAATAAATTTGGCTTTGAAATCACAAAATAAAAACCTATCATCATTTAACATAAGTTTCTAGGGCTAGAACAGTAGGAGCTTCAACATTTGTCCAGAGTCAAAACGGATGAATAAGATTCCTATATCCAGTAAAAACTACTTCAGCTTGTTAAAAAGACTGAATTCTTTGCATTACAAATAGAGACATAAAGACTTTTTATCAAGTTGCAGGCCAAAAAGAGTTTCTTTTCGGTGATGTAACTTGACTAGCAGATCATCAAGTGGGGTAGTTTACTTAAAGAAAATAGAAGTCCATTGAGCTTGCAAAGAGGACAGAAAATTGAATGAAAGATTAGAAGCTTACAACGGGAAATTTATTGCAGCCCCACCTAGACAAAGATTCCAATTTAACAAACAAAGGGAGGCCTATAAAAGACATTAAGTTCTTTCTATGTGGTTGGCCATAAATATTCCACTGAGACAGAGGTTATCAAAATGTTGGTGGAAGCTGTGACATTTTGACAGGGATTTGTCATTGGGGACCAATCAAATAGTATAATTTGGTGGTCCACAGACTGAAAAATCGAATTCAAGAAAAAGACTTGCCCAAAACCCAAAACTGGGTCCAATCTGTGAAAGTAAACTGTATATTTATCTCATACGCATTTTAAAAGGAAAGATGTTGATTGCATCTTTCACTAACACGAAAATATTCAAGTGTATTCCACTGTTTAGACCTCTCTTTCTTTCTCTCTACAAAATGCTTCACCCAATGTTGCTAAACATGCAACCGGAGTTATTTTTAAGTGATAAACAAGATGGTTTTAAACACAATAAAAGTAAGATTCCCCAAGCTCTTATCTTCTAGGCAATCGCATGGAGCATAAAGTGGTACTTGTTACGATAAAAAGATGAAATGAACTCACCACTATTATGACACCGGCAATAATTTTCATTCCCACCACATGACTCCAAGTGACCTACAACACCATACCACCAACCTGCAAATATTCATGGTGATATTTAATTAATCAATAATTAAATTGTTTTAAATCTGATTAATATATTCAACATACACTTGTGTCTATATTCTAAAAGGATTATGCATTTATGTAGGCATGTTCTATAACAAATTCAAAAAGAATCACTTAAATATAAAATAAGACCTCTGCTGTCTCTGGCTCCTACTGACAAGATGAATAATTTGTATGATAAAAAAGTTCCCCAAGATTTTAGAGATCACCAATATTAAATGACTTATCTCTAGCTCTTCTTTGAAATCAATAATGAGCTGATTAAGGTTGAATGATTCTTCTTGTACCAATATTCATATACGTAACTTAGATAAAACATAGAGAAATTCTGATTAGTTGCAAGTTGCTGGTATGGAGAACCAACCATAAGGAAATTCTTTGTTTCTTCTCCACTGAATCTCAATGTGGTCGCTGGGGCGTAAATCATGCAGGCAATCAGAGATATGTAGATCATGTGGAGAGGTATCAACGGGTTGTGCTCTAAGCCTTTCCCATGGCACACCACTCTCTATGGCAATTGCTCTCCTTCCATGTGGTGGGTACCTGAAAAAGAGAGAACATCTAAAATTCAATCCACTAGATCACTTACTATATCAGTATTCCTTTTGTCTTTCGTTTTTCTAACATCAACATCTTTTACAGAAAAGGCTAATTCAAGAATCTATAACGCTCTATGGATAGTAACTATGATGTCCACGACTAAAATATATTGAGAATCATGGTCCAAGAAGAAAATTATTTCCATTACCTGGCTTGAAATGCATCCGTCCGGGGATCATAGCTCAGATCAGCATCATAACATGATAGCATGAATCCAACGTGCCCATTCTGCAATCCAACACAAGTAACTTTTACTACGAGGGATGAAAATCCATAAACCCAACACATCAATTCTCTGGAGGCTATTGAATTAAAAGCACAATTATAGAATTTGTAGCCTTGAGCAAATAAAGATTATTCAAACTTAAGCTCAATGAAGCTAATAAATTAATGGAAACAAAAAGAATAGGACGATGAACAATAAATACCTCGCGGTTAAAGACTTGAGCAGGAAACCAGAACTTTCCAGTCTCAAGAGCAAGGTACCAGGACATGATTGAATTAACAGGCAGAGGACTCCTCTGCTTGCTATTGTTAATAGGATCAACCTTTGGGGTACCCCACGAAGAAGCCCAAAACATTGACAGAAGCCTCATAAATCCTTTTGGCTTGCCTTGTTTGAAACTTCCGAAATCCTTTCTCGAAGCTAAATGCCATTGCCACTCCCTATAAGCAGCAGGGCCAATAACCCTGCCCCATTTCTGCTTCATATGCTTTTCCCACAAATGATCACTCACACACCTTTCCCTCAAAGAAGTACACACACCTGCCATGCTACAAAGCCCTGCAGGAGGCAACTTCTCAAGAATGCATTCCAAGGCCAATTCAGGCAAGTCCAAAACAGACATCCCTCCAACCTCACCATCAAGAGCACTTTTTTCTGCTCTTGCACTTGAACTTAGATTCATCTTCTTAGTTGACATTTTTAAAGGAATTCTATTGATATAAAAAGCACTCAAAATGGTATTCCTTAATGACCCTAAATTAGAGAAGAGAAACAAGTCCTTCAAGAACCAGAATGACAACAATCTCATTTCACTTGCCCATGGAGGCAAAGGCTTGAGAGAAAGGGGCTTTAAAAATAGGATGACGGAGAAACAAGTAATGAAGAAGTAAAGTAGCATTAGAGATAAAGGGTATTGTATTGCGGGTCAAACTCAAGTTTGGCATAAATTGTCAGATGAAGTAGTGGAAGATCAATGGAAGAACCAATAATGGGAAAAAAAAAAAAAAAAAAAGGCAGTGGCAAATAAAATAGAGAGAGAGAGGGAAAACGGAAGGAAACCGTATTGTCTTCTCCTCTCTTTCCTTCTTCAACAACAACACCAACACCCACTTTTAAAAATACAAATCACCAAAAAAAAAAATGAATTTAACAAAGTGGGATCTTCTAAAAAGGAATAATATTTTCTTTCATAGAATGGGGTTTTATTGGTATAGAGAAAGCCCACCAAACCCACCAGTGGGCCTCCTCTTTCAGAAAAGTCTAAACTAGACCGAAAATGAAAGCTTTCTTCCAATCTATAAACACCCCAAAGAACAAAACTATTTCACTTGTGTGAGATGTCAATTGTCACATAAACCAGTTCAAGGATCCAAAATGAAACTGTAGAATTCTCTAACTCGTATCTCTTTTATGAATACCAGTGCACCACCATATGCTAGTTAGTACAGACAGCCTGAACAGCTGTCAATTAAAAAAAAAAGAGGAAATTGGGTTGTATTAGATGAACCAGGAAGGAGAACTAATGAAGGTGGTGGGGCATTCAGATCTGATATGGGCCTCTGACACATGGAAATCCCAAGAAGAATATAAATTAGAAAAAAAAAACTAGTACCAAAACAAGGTAAGAACTTAAGAAGGGCTAGACACAGAGACCCGTATCTCTCTAAAAATCTGAAATTTGGTATGTAAAAACAAAAAAGAAACCAGCTTGAGCTTTGAAAAAATAAAAAAACAAAAAAGGTGAGAAATACAGATCTGGTTAGTTGAGATAGAACAACAGTTAGGTGCACCAAACAACTCCCCAAGATCTGTTCAAAAGCTAAAAAACAAAAACACAACAAACACTAATAGTAAATAAAAAGAAGAGAAAAAGGTACAGAGAGAGAGAGTTTATTGAAGAAGATGATTAATGAGAAATGTGGGGTCCTCTTTATTCCCCCTAATCCATCATTTTCTTTCATCCAATTCTCCTCCACCTCCCACTGCAAAACCTCTCTCTCTTCCCAACATAGCAAAGTACGTACTAGCAATGGATAAACGTCAAGAAAGAGAGAGATGATGTTAGTATTCATGTGATTAAATGGATGAGTGGTTATGGTTAAAGTGATTTCTCTTTTTGGGCGTAGATGTGAAGCAAAAACGCTGCTACTAAAATCTTTTTTTTTTTTTTTTGACCATGGTAAAAAAAAAAATTGATGATGGAGGGAAATTTATATGACCAAGAAAAGGCAACAGTTAGGATGACAGGAATCAGATACCCAAATGGTGGTTTAAGAGGTTTTTTTGGTTTTGTCATTATGCAAGCCACTAATGCTTCGTATTGGGCACCACACCCTGTTTCTTGGCAACGCGTGGCATTAAATATTTTACCTACGTTATCGTTGTTAGTTATTTCTTTCCTCTATTTTTTTTTTTCACTCCAACAAGCTTGCCTTCATCGTAAAAAGATTATTATGCAGATTGCATCCATATAGAGTATCATTGTTAAAGAGATTGTATCATCTCTTGATTTCCTAAATTTGAATATTAAAATCAATATTTAAAACTTTTTAAAATCAATATGAAAATTAATTTTTTAAGATTATTCAGTAATAAAATTCAATATCAATTGATATGCAAATTAGTTAAAAAAAAACATTTCTTATTATAAATACTAAAAAAATTACACACCTAAATTCAGAGAATTTGTTTTAAATTATCTTTTAGTGTTATGAATTCGTAAGGTTGGAACATGTTAAACGTACTTAAACTTAAAACATTAAGAATAAGCTAATACAAATATTTTGCATATTAAAAAAAAAGATAATATTAAATTCATCAATTAAATTGTTATTTTCACTGTTTTTTATATAATTATTAATATGTCCTTTATTATTTATCAATAATTATTATACAACACATATTAGTGGAGGGTATATTGATAATTTTTAAAAAAAAATTAGTGGGAATAATAATTTAGTTGTTGAATTTAGCACATCCTAGAAAAATAGATAATTTTAAAAATAATATTAATAACACAATTTTTTTAAGGAGAATTAATAACACTTTTTTTTTGTCCAAACTGCTTGGAGATCTAGTATTTTAAGACATACAAATACTAGTTTTTATATAATTATTAATACATCCTTCATTATTTATCAATAAATATTATATAACACATATTAGTGGAGGGTATATCGATAATTTTTTAGAAAAAAATTAATGGAAATAATAATTTAGTTGGTGAATTTAGCATATCCTAAAAAATAGATAATTTTAAAAATAATATTAATAACACAATCTTTTTAAGGAGAATTAATAACACTTTTTTTGGTCCAAACTGCTTGGAGATCTAGCATTTTAAGACATACAAATACTATTTTTTATATAATTATTAATACATCCTTCATTATTTATCAATAAATATTATATAACACATATTAGTGGAGGGTATATTGATAACTTTTTAGAAAAAAATTAATGGAAATAATAATTTAGTTGATGAATTTACCATATCCTAAAAAATAGATAATTTTCAAAATAATATTAATAACACAATTTTTTTAAGGAGAATTAATAACACTTTTTTTGGTCCAAATTGCTTGGAGATCTAGCACTTTAAGACATACAAATACTAGTTTTTTTTTTAGGTAAAATACCATTACAATTTATCAGCAAAATTTTTTTTCTATGTAAAATGTTTCATAAAAGATATTTTATGCAAAACAAATTTTTTAAGAAGAAAAGTAATCTTTACGAGAAAACTCAATAAGAAATCCCATGTTCGTTCTTCACTGATTTTTTTTAAAAAAAAACATGACATAGCTACAGTGATGTCAGTTATATAGATCCCATTCAACTTTGACGTGTGTGCCATGAAAAAATCGGGAAAAAAATATATAAAAGCCACAATATTTTATGATTATATGTTCAATTTCTCTCTCCACTCAGGGAAGAAGAAAGGACTTTCAAAACAGAAGGGATGGCAAGTGGACATGGCCAACGTATATGCAACAGAAGGGAGGCAATTGCCCCCCTGATTTTTTCAAAAAAGATTCATAGTAGCCCTCATTAATTTTGGGAATTGAAATCTGCCCCCTTATTTTAGACATCGCTCGTATTTCTTGAAACTTGTCCATTTGTCCTTGTGTATGAAATCATCAGTTAAATGAACTATTTTGTGATTGTTACAATTCAATTTTCGATATAATAATTTTTTAAAAATATATTATTACAAGTTAGAGAAATTCTAGTCAGTGCAATAATATCTAAGAAAATAGTGTTTTTTTTTTTAATTTTATAATAGAAGTATTTGCAAATCAGTTTTTACATACTCTGAGATAAATTTAATAAATTTTTAAGCTCAATGATAAAAATCCAACCTTCAACTGAACTTATAAATCCACGCTACAAACTGACTTAACACTTTGTATTTTAAGAAAATAATGTTTTGTCTCTGTGCTCCTTACCCAACTGATCCTAACTCTTCCTCTTCAAGTTAAGTACTCGGCTCTCTGGTCTTTCCCAACCTGAACTTGTTTACTCAGACCTGTGCCCTTGATAGTCGCAAACCTGTTAAAAACTTAAGAGATAATAGCCACTTATAGCGGAACGCGACTTTTTGTTGATACCCATCCCACTCGAATATCATGTTGTTATAACTATATATAATAAATATGCATATACCCTTTCGTTATACCCATAACCTTTTTCAAAAATTATATAGAAATAGATGAATTATTCAAACTACGAATATAAAAGCATCATCCACGCGTAAAAAATATATATATATAAAAAAAAATATAGCTAAATGAGTAACAAACGTTCATTTGATATCAATTACCAGGCCAGTTCTCGATATCTGATACTTGTTATCTCAACAGGTTCGGGTATTTTGAATCTCTAAATCCCCTTATACCAGCCTGATTGGATTTGTATCTTTCCCTACCATAGCTTAATTATTTTTGGTCGGATCATTGGTTGTTGGATATCTCATGGTTGTTATTTTTGGTTACGAGCATGAGATCAACCGCATCGGACAAAATTTTTGTTTTTAAAAACAAAATCAATTATTAAAAAAAAATGAGGGAAACAATTAGCATTTAGGTTTTCGGATAAATGATAATAAGAGTGTTTCTACTTTTTCAAATTAGTGATTCGATCATTTTTTAAAAAAATTATTTATCTCTTTGTTTGGTATTCAATATGGATTACTAATCGATTTTCAATTTTAAAAACTTTATTTATTTTCTTTATATAGCATTGAATATGAACTGTTCATTCATTTATTTTTATAATCATTAAAAAATTAGACATTATCTGATATTAATAAATTTTATTTTATTTAATATAAAAATACTGTTAATTTACTTATTCTTATAATCGTTAAAAAATCAGAAGTAATCCAATGAATTAATTAATCAATCACATGAACATGGTAGTTCGTTTGGATGTACATTCTTCGCTGATTTCAACCAGAAAACCATAAATGAAGGGAATGATTCAGAATCGCCGTCTGTGGGGATCGAACCCACGACCACATGGTTAAAAGCCATGCGCTCTACCTCTGAGCTAAGACGGCTCGCATTCACCTTGGCTCCTGGTAATATATATATTCTTATAAAATTGCCTGAGTCCTCTTATTGTCATTGGTTTTTTAAAATATTTCTTATCGTTTACGGTTTAGTTGTTGACGCATGCCAAACTTGCTGCTGGGAGACAAGAAAAAGGCGGTTCTCAAACCATTTTTGGTTGGTAGGTCATGTTTGGCATGTTGTACAAATGAATATGAACAATTTTTAGCAAAAAAACAAAATGAAAACAAAGTAACAAAGTTGATTTAAGCCGCACGCGTAGAAAAACAAAGGCGCCGGATGTTTCTTTGCGCTAATTTGAAAAAAAAAAAAAAAAAATCTCTTT